GACATGTCGTTCCTGCCATGGAATGACGGTGAAGCCTCTCTTGCGGAGACTCTCGTAGACCAGGCAATGTTGCCTGAGCGTCCGGAACCTGCTGGCCCTCAAGAGGTCCAATGCCTCCTTGCAGAAGTCCTCCCTCAGGATGTCCTGCATGTATGCAATGTGCTCCGCAAAGGGGGCGAAGTGGGCAAGGAGCCGTTCCGCCCATTTCCTGCGCATATGGAGTTCCAGCGCTCGCTGGGTCGTGGGCTCCATTTCCCTGATCTTCCCGGGCCGCCAGTGCCTCCACTTCAGAAGCTCCGGCTGTTGGAGTGGGGGTGGGTCATCTCGCGAGAACCACCTCAGTTGGTCCTGGCGGTCCCATTCATTCTCCAACACGGGAAAAGTTCTCGCTCGGCTTGCCATCCGCAGCCGCCATGGGAGGAACCACAGGCTATCCCAAAGGTCGGCCAGGTCCGCCGCGGACAAAGGCTGGGGAAGCCTGCCCGCCGCCGACGCCACCAGGCCGTTGAAGTAGTCCGTTGGTACCACTTACTCATCTTGGCCCACCGGAATGCCCGAGAGTTCCAGGAGCTGAGCGAAGCGGATGGCCGGCTCCCCGCCCAGCTGCCTCCCTTCCTCTGCCGTGCCATGGCGCAGGCACATCAGAACCAGCAGCTCCCCGTCCGTCTGTCTCGGGGAGAAGGACTCATCCGCCAACGTGTCCCACAGGACCCTTGGAATGCGGTCCCAAAGACGAGTGTAAGGCGGGCGCAAAAGAAACTTTGCAGAGACCCTAGCCATGATGAAAGCGGGGGTTCGAGCCTCCTATTGAACGGCCGGGACCCAACCGCGGCACACTGCACGCATGTTCCAACCCCACAGGATGCCGAGTGCAAATGGGGCAGGCAGGCCACATGCGGCCCAACAGGACCCAAAAGTCAACCCCCGGAAATCCCCAAAAAAGGACCACGGAGGGGGGAAGACCAACCCAGCGGGGGATTCCCCAAAACCCCCAAGGGGACCTCAGGGAACCCAGAGTCAGCCGCAGCCACTTTCCCACTTTCTCCAAACTGTGGCCGATATGGCCCGTCCTTGGGGCAGCCAAAGCGTGCAGCCTCCAGATCGAGGCAAACCGGCAGTCGTGACGCGTTGAACAGGGGAAAAACCAGGTGAAAGATGAACCCAAAAAGGGGACACCCTTACTCCTCCCCCCACCCGAGACGGGGCCAGAGGCACCCAAGTCCCGGTGGGAAGAGATCTCACGACCATCCAAAAAGGCTGTGAGACACGACCTAGCGGCTCTCACCCTTCAAGATCGCCTCCTTAGCCACCGAGTGGATGGCCGCCAGCCCTGACTTCTCCGGCTCAAGATGACCGACCACAAGGCAGTGGAGACATCCCCCAGGCCATTCGAGGAGCTGAAGCGCATGCGCGGGGTGCTCGCATCGCCAAGGACTAGCCGCTCGTCCCTGGGAGGCTCCGTCGGCTCCACCCGCTTGTAGAACTCCATCCTGTCCGGATCCACTGATTATATAGCTGCTCCGGGGGCTCGTCCATCACCAGCTGCAGGCATGTGGCCTTGTCCTTGTGCCACCCCGTGATCTGGAGCAGCCTGGTCCCCCCGCGGCTCGCCCTCCAGAAGCCCTTGCAGAACCTGCACATGTAGCCCCCGGTGGTCTTGAACTTCTCCTTGCCCACCACTTCCCAGGCGCTGATGCTGGGCAGGACCAGGCCGCACTCCACGGAGGCCCAAAACACGTGCTTCGTCTCGGGAAGTGCTTGTTGATGTACTTCCGGCCCGCGACCGCCGTGACCGTGGACGTGGTGATAGGAGGGTACCGCCTGGTGCCCTGGTCCGGCGTGCGGAGCGTGGTGTCCGCCCCCCTTGGCCTTGGGGTCCGATTCCTTGGCCGCTCCTCCCCCGGGGCCAGAGGCACCCAAGGGGGGGGAGCAACCCAGCTGCCTGATAAGGTGCCCAACCGGTCGTACAGGGCCCCGCCGCCTCCTGCGCAACCTGCTCCACCCAGTTATGGACCACGTTGCAACGCCAGTTGACCTTGACCTCCACCATGGAGGACTTACTCAGGCCCGACACCAGCTTGGTGTACACCGAGTCGAAAGCCCTCAACGATGACAGCGGAAGGGTGATTCGCTCGTCGCAGACCGCCCTGAAACGCAGCGCCTCCTTGCTGTCGTGGACGGGGGCCACTGGGATCTCCATCACCGGCAACGGGCAGTTAACGATGAAATTCTTGGCCGCCAGAAACGTCCCCATCTCCTTGAAGATGTAGCTCCATTCCGCCTTGCTGCGCGGCTTGGGGATTCCCAGGCTCTCCAGGAAGGGGACCGCCTCCTTCCTCATCTGGAGGATGTTGCCCATCCACTTGTCCGAGGCCGAGCCCTCCGCATTGCGGCCCCGGCGCTGCGTCTTCACGATCAGCGGGAAGGTGGTCCAGGCCGAGTAGATGTACTTGAAGGTGAACCTGTGGGCGTACACCCCCGTCAGGCTCGGCAGGTCCCACGTTCTCGTCTGCCTTGTCCAAAACACTCCATCGCCCTTCGCCCAGAAGATCCCCACCACCTGCTCCGGCGCCGGGCGCTCGCCCCGGTTCACCTGCGCTCGGATCTCCAAGGCCGTGTAGATGACAGGGTCGATGTGGTCCTGCTCGCACGTGAGTGGGTGGGTCCTGCGTTCCAGGGCCAGAAGCTCCTCCGGAGTGAGCTTGAATTGCTGGTCCGCTCCCTTGGGGATCTCACCGCTTGAGTGCTTCTTCCAGATCCCCCCATCCGTAGCTCACCTTGGTGCCTCTTCATCGCCCAGAGGAGCAGGGACAGCTTGCCCTCCTCCGAGTCCAGGTCCTGCTGTGGCATTGACTGGTGCCCCCCGGGGCCAGTGGCACCCTTGGGAGTGTCGCCAGATCGGGCATCTCCTCCAGCAGCGCCTCCTGGTTCCATGGGTTCTGCGCCTCTCTGAGCTAGGGGACATACTTCTCCTTGATGTCTCCCACGTTGGGGATGTCCTCGGGGTCATCCAGCTCCAGGGCCTGCCTGAGATCATCTGGCCACGCCGACACTTCCAAGGGCTTGAGGGTGTGGTTAAGCATCCATGCCTGGTTGGTGTCCTGGGTGCGCTTGTTCGCCTCCTGAGCCTCCTGGATGGAGCCCATCGCCTCAGCCAGTGCCTGGCTGGCGTCAACGCCCTTCCCCTCCAGGTACTGATCTCGCAGCTTGGCCTTGAATCGCTGAGGGCCCGGGCTCCCTCATTGGCCACGTCCTCTGACGGCAGGGCCTGCATGCCCTCCTGGAGAGGCGCCAGGATAGCCATCTCATTGTCCAGCATCTCGTCCGTGACCAACTCCTTGTGCCGCCGCCTGGCCCGGGGTTGGTTCCCGGTGCCTCAAGGCCTTATGCAGCTCCTCCTTCTTCCGGATCGCCTGGTCCACCTGGGGGTGGTAGAGCTGGAAGCTCTGAGCCTCCGCCTCCTTCAGGGACCGCTGCACTTTGACCTTGACCTCCTGGCGCTCCCGGACCTTCAACGCCTCATCGTCCGCCTCCATGGACAGGATCTCCTGCCGGATGTCCACCCGCCTGTTGAGCGGGACCACGTCTGCCATGGTAATCTCCTCTGCCGTGTCCGTTTTCGGAGGAGCTCTCCCCAGGACCGTGCCGTCCACCAGGTTGCGGTCTGCCTGTGCCCGGGTACCACCGGGGCCAGCGGCACCCAGGCTTCCCCCTTCCCGCTGCTGGATCCAGGTCGGCTTGCCCTCCACAATGAGCAGGTTGTACTTGACGCCGTCCGCCTCGTAGGTAGCCGAGGGTGCCTGGAAGGGGACGAACTCCTTGCCCGGGCAGACCCAGCATTGCTTGGCTGCCTCCGGCCACCCCGTGCCGCATGCCTTGCACATGAATTTGTAGTCTGAGTGGCCGGCATCGAGTCTGTGCATCCGCTGGGTGCCAATGCACGCCTTGTTCCTCTGGAACTGTGAGGCCCAGACCTCCTCCTGCCGGATCTGGATCTTCATCGGAACATAGGCCTCCAGGATGCGAATCACCAAGTCCTCCGTGAGATTCTTCCCGACAAACTTGTGGAACAGGGAGACCGCCTCCTCCACCGTGACGTCCCTCAGCAACGTGGCCGCCGATGCCGGAAGGACCGGGAAGAGGTCTGGGAGGTCCACTAACTTGAAGTAGCCGGGACGGCCCTCCACCGGCACAAGGGAGACCGGTTTGTTCACCTGAGCCGTGGTCTTCTGGGAAGGCGCCACGAAACCCTTCAGCCTCTTCGTTGGTGGAGTAGCCCGCTCCGTGGCGTCCGCATCTTCCATGTCCTTGTCCTCCTCCTCGGCGGGGCCAGGGGCACCCAAGCCGGAAGTCGGTGTGGAGAAAGCCACACGGAGACGCTCCAGTGCACTGGAGAGGTCGTTCATCACGTCGGTAGCTGAAGCCGACGGGGGGGCCTCGGGCTCGTCCAACGCCAGGCCGGCCGCCACTGCCGCCTCGCGTGTGCGGATTTGCTGGGCCTCCTGGCTGGCCATTTCCACCTCCTCCGCGGTGAGCTTCTGGTCCTCAATCAGCTCGAAGGAAGTTGCCGAGGTTGCCGAGGAAGCCATTGCTGGTTCGGGGGTAGTTCGGAAGTGTTCAAACTCATTTTTTTTCACACAAATTGGGTTCAAAGAACCCAGGGCAAAGCTTGAGCCAAAATGGCATGCGCCATTATGGTCAAGCATTGCCAACACAGTTCATGTTTCCACATGCGTTTCAACATTAACAAAAGATATCCTCCAACAGACACGGCTCAGTAAGTCGTTGGAAACCTTGGTTCTAACCAACATTTAGTGGACTCCCAACTATGGCAAGAGCGTCATGAATATGCTTAACGATACTGTACGGTAACATGGAACCTGACTTTTTGGGGTCCTGGAAGACTGGTGTGTCCTTTCATTTGGACGAAGCATTTCTCTGGACGCCAGAACGGGTCGCTCCCGCTTCGCCGCGACCCCCACCTGGGCGGCGGCGGCTACTCAGCCGAAAGGCGCGGCATAGAGCGAGAGCAGCAGGATCACCCCGAAGGCGCTCAGCCAGGACCAGATGAAGATGCCGATGAAGCACACGTCCACTAGGAAGGACAGCGCCTAGCTGCCGTACAAAACAATAATAATAAAAGAAAGAGTCTGCATATATTTAGCAGATAAACACGAAAAATGACATATGGAGGAAACAAGGTAAGGAAGTATTGCAATGAGGTAGTTCAAGGAAGATGGCTCACGTGCGGACCCGAAGCAGGCAGGGTGGGCTAACTGCTTGCCGTCCAGAAAGAGCTCAACACCATCGGCTGAGAGCCCGGCCAAGAGGTAATAGTACGCATTCCTCGGATGTCTCGGCCGGATTTGGGAGCCCCCTGTGCGCCGATTTTGTTGGGCGGTGCTTGACCAACGTGTCTGGAAGTGACGACAAGAGCTGAGCACCGAAAAGCCACGCGTTCTACCGTGGTTGGACGAGTTCATTTAAGCCTCGATATAATATCCCTACTGTGGGTGGACAGAATCCAGCACCGCTTTGAGACCGTCAGAAACCATTGCTTGTCGGTACTTGCAGGGATCATCATTCCAACGTTTCCTAGGTGGTGCGAAATGGATTTCGGCCATCCAAAGTCTTCACCGGGAACCTGCTGCTGTCTGCGTCGACGCCCTACTCTCAATGGGAACGAAATGAAACGTCCGTCCATGGCTCAGGTGGCTCTCCAGCATGTACACCGCGCCAATGTAGGCCTGGAGATCCCAACATTGCTGCACCCCACCCACCCTCCCCCCCGAATCCGCTGGTTTTCGGGGAACTGGAAGAGGTGGGACCTTCAGTCAAAAGCCCTCGAAGGCCCAGGCTGCAAGCTGCAGTGAAAATCCGTCAAACCCTTCGTGCCTCTCGAGGTAAGGTCATGCTCTCATCAAGAACTTCTCTAAATGGATGTGTTGTTGGGTGGGCTCTCCCCAAAATGGTTGGGCTCTTTTGGTGTCCCTTTGAAACCGTCCCTAAAAGTGTACCCTCAAGAAAGACAGACCCAATTGCCCTGGGGCGCGTCCCTACCCTCCCAAGCCAATGGAAGTGAACGAGCTCTTTGGTACATGACTGGGCTGTCTGCGAAAAGTGGCTAAGTGTTAGTGAGTTAAATAAAAACTACCACAAGCCAAAAACCTAGAAACCTGAAAACCTAAGGGGATGGCTGGGAACCACTCAAGTAATACCCCTCCACCCTGAACACTTCCGTCGGTTTGAAACGGCCCCTTTTGGGGTCGCTTCGAACCGCAGGCCTGGATGATGCAGAAGACCTGACCCCGGATCCCGGATCCCTGAAACCCGAAGGGAAGCCATACGGGCCATACGTCTTTGATACCGGGAGGAAACGACAAGGAGATGGCTGGAAGGCCGAAGGATGGTCGAGGGTGCGAGGTCCGTCGATCAAAGGTGCGGGGAAAAATGAACAAGGAGATACCAAAATACCAAAAAGCAATCAACACAAACTCCCAGGAGGATCGCTTGAGGGTGAACACTGAAAACACGGACTGAGTGAGGGCTCTGTCCAAAGAAAGGTTCGAACATGGTGATTACCTGTGACACGTTTCAAGCCTCATGTTGAACCCTGAAGAACCTTCCCCGACTGCAACATAGCATCAGGTCGGATGCCTCCAACAGACACGATCACCAGACAAAATGGAGAACGTGCGCTCGCTTCTGCGATCCGTGAAAAAACAAGAAGTGGCACCTCTGTTCAAGGCGCGATCGATCGCTCGCTCGCTCGCTCGCTCGCTCGCTCGCTCGAGGGAGCGAGCGAGCTGTCCTAGCTGTCCTTTGGCAAAGTAGATCAATTCCGCTGACAGATGCAAACATAGACCAGTGTCTAATTGAAACCAGCGGTACGCATCTATTTTCTAGACCTGCTGATAGAGGGGTTGTGGCCCTTCATATCGAGGTCCTATGTTCAACCAAGCTGAAACTAGAAAGGGCATGGAGAAAAGCTTTGATGCGGGTCCAAACGGGGGTCATAGTCTTGACAACCCCTTCACAGAAGTCATAGTCGATACCTGGTAAAACCATGCTTCAAGAATCCAAAAGGCGGGGGCCATCCCTTACGAACCTTCATCTACCCGGGCTTTGCTTACAGTTTCCCGCCCAGCGGCGCTGAACAGGCAGAAGGCGCCGTAGGCCCACTGCACCTCCTGGGACACAGTGATGCCAGCCGCCAGGTGGTAAGGCGCATCTCCTCGATTTGTCTCGGTGGAGTCCGGTGCAGCTGTTGACTGCTCCCCAGCACAGGCAGATTCACGTGGAAAACCAAAGAAACACCATCTTAGAGGAATCTTATTTTTAGTCAACTTGCAGGGGAGTAGCCCATAAACATGTTTACCCAATCGCTGCCCCTTGGAAAATCAACCTGGCGTTCAGTCGTGTAATCAGAAAATGGAAGCCGTCCACGCCTCTAGGTTTGTCAAGCTTGGAACTTAGCCTGTCCCTGAATCCGCTTGCAGAAGCCTGTCAAAGCAAACCTTGGTAAGGTAGCGAGCAGCTTTGCTTTTGCAGCCCCCACTAAACATGATCAGAACCGAACATCCTAAAAACTTGCCAAGCGCAGTGAAGGGAACACTGCGTGCCCACGAACCACTTCAGGAACAAAACCCGAGGAAACCAACCTGAAACCTTCAAGCCATTGCACCATATCACAAGGCTTGCGACCTCCGCGCCCTCGACTCCGAAAGGAGAGGACGGCCGCTGGCAACACGCCGCGCCTGGGGCCTTCGAGAGGCACAAGAGGCAGACCCCGAAGTGCACCGCCAGCACGACGTAGATCTCGGCGAGGCGCGGTCCGAGGGACTTCGCGTTTTTTGTTTGTTTTTTGTGTGTGTTTTTTTTTTTTTTGTGTGTTGTTGTTGCTTTTTGTGTTTTGTTTTTTTTTTTTTTCCGGAAACCGATCGAAGCTTTGGGGTTCAGGTCACCTTTGGGTTGGATTCATGGTCACGTGGCGTTCCATTCATTCCATCCGAATTCTAGAAAGAACATATTCCTTTGGATGTTCGATTCGGCAAGCCAGGCAAGGCATTTGGCTTGAAGCCCACGACTAAGAGGGGTTAACTCCACTTAGAGGGTCATAGGCTAAGCCACCAACGACTTGCTAACATGAACGAACACCCAAGTAAGGCCTCTGGGGAACGGAAGGAATGCAAAATTCACAAGTTTAGAGTCTAAGCTGTGGTTCTGGGGCAATCACGCCCAAAAGTGACTTTGAGAGCCCTGAAAATGTCCCAACCCATCGCTTGCAACTTGCCAGCCACGGCAACCGACATCCAGGCCCCGCACCCAAAAAGAACTCCTGAAGGCTGCGGAAGGCATGGGGAGAAGGGGAGCGCAAGGTCCCCCCCCCAGTTGCCTTGGACCTTGAAAACCATACATGTTTGTTTACCAGAAATAGGTTGGCAGTATGTGTCTTTCAGTGTCCGTCTTGTCCTTTTGCCATCAAAGAGAGGGGTGTTTCAACATCCCAATCTCCATGTGACATCGTCCACAAGACTCGGACGTTGGACCCTACCCCCGCCCACTAACAGCCCCTTTACCGATGAGAGAAGAGCCCCAAGAGACGTCCCTTCAGCGTAGGCATTTTCTACACGTGTCCTTGTTGAAGTTGGAGCCCCGACATGGCTGTGGAGTTCACTTCACTTTCCCTGAAAAACCGAAAACGGGGTAAACCCCCCCAAAAAAAAGAGGAGGGGGGAAGACAAAGAAGCGCGACGAGTCCATATTTGGGGTGAAAGACATCCCAGCGACTTCTCAGCTCCTTGTGAGGAGCCCTTTCAGCTCCTCCAGAACCGACATCTCACAGGTTCGCTTCCTGAGCGAAGCTGTTCTGTTCGCTTCGCGGGCGAGTTGGGGGCCAGGTTTGGAGGGCTCGACTCGCCAGAAAAACCAATCTGCTCTCCCACCAAATCGGTGGCGTGGAAGTCGTTCAAATAAGGTGCTGGTGTAGAAAACCAGCGGGCTTCAAGTCCCCGAACCAACCCGATCCCCCCCTCCAGAAAGAGCAGCAAGCCAACCCAAATCGGCTTCCAACAAAACCTTTGGAAATCTGAACAGCAGCCCCTCATATCTTAGTGGAATTGCGGGCTTCGTTTGGCCGTTCTAGTAAGAATACCCAAAAGTCAGTGAGGGGAGAACACATATCTAGTCTGGCTTGCCCTGCAGCCGAATTTACATGTGCGGGAATTCGGCGAAATGCTGAACTATACATTCAAGCACCGGCGCTCGATATCCATTGGGGGAAGCAGTCAAAATCACAAGCCACCCATGATCCATATTATAACATGACACTGGTCTGTCGAATTGCAGTGAAAAAAACTAAGCCTCACATCGACAATATTCTTATACCGAGAGGTAAGTCTACATGACACATGGTTGGCAAATCCACCTTTGCGTTCAGTTCAGTACCTCCTCTCGAGGAATCCGGCCATGGAACCATCTCAACGGACAAAACTATACGTGCTTCCCCAAAAGGACATCGGACATTTTGGGGCTCAGTCCTAAACCCGCTGTTCTGACCACTTTGTGTAAACAAGTAGCCGTCCCCTCAACGCAACAGCAAATGACCAATAATGCTGTCAGCGACTTATTGAAGAAAAGAACAAGGGTGGTAAACGGACTCGACGGGCTGTCACTCTCTTGGGGTTATGGCTGTGTGTCTTAAATTTGGATTTGGACCCTCCAAAAATGTTGGCCTTTAAAGCCAACCCCCAAAAAGAGCAATGTTGACCCGTCCTGTTCATAGTTGGATGATCCCTCCAAAAGTGAAGGATTCCCACCAAAAAAGGGAACCCTCCAAAAATGAAATCAACCAGAACCTTCTTACTCCAGGGCGTTCATTTCCCTCAAAGACGTGTCACCCGCCCCTGCCACCCTTCCGAGGACGTGGCGCGGATGGGGGCTTTGGCCATAGGGCTTTGGAGCCAAAAGCCCAAGCTGCCGGAAGCCAAGCTCAAGTGGGTTGGATGGAATGAAACGCCCATCTAAGCCCGCGCCTTCGAATTTTTGTTCCAAACTAGAAGTCTGTCATTTTCTCTGTCGGCCTCTAAAAATCCCCGCGCCTCGCACGGGGAAGGCCAGTAGGATCACTTCACCGCGCCCATGGAATGTTGTGCCATACTGTTCACAAAGACTTCGGTGATTGTGTACAGCTCTGGCAAACCTGTTCATCCGTTTGGGTGGGTCCCCCCAAACCCCAACAAATCCAACACGGGATGTCTTTCCTCAAACTAAATAACATTTTGGGGTCCTTCTGTGCATTTCCCACCAACGCTTAATCCTGAAAAAACCTTCCCCGTCAAAAAACCAGGTGAGTCAGAATCAAAACCTGGTATTAAAATAATAATCTACCCAAATCCATGCTTCAAGAAGTAAAAAATCAACGCGAATTCTGGTGGGGACTCTCCCTTAAGGTTCACCTACCCACATTTTGAGGGCGCGGCTCTGTTTGGAAAAGAAACCTTCAACTTGAACTTCAACTTGCTTTGCTTAGTAGGGAATGACCGAGTCCGGGTATTGGGAACGAACCGTTTGGGAATTTCTTTAAAGGAAACCAAATCGGGGATGGTTTTCTCGGGGTCATTCCGTTTCTCATTCCCTGTCCATCGAAGCAAGTCAAGTCGTCCCTGCAAGCACTGGCTCCCATCTGGCTGTGGCTCAAAGAATCATGCCCCTCGGCAAGTGTTGTACCAAAGACGAAAAACCTGCGGTTTGCCCCATCTCTTTCTTTGACCCCTGACAATGGGTACATGGCGCCCAAACCCATCTGGCCATGGCTCAAAATCCAAATCATACCCCGGTGAACATCCAAATCCCCACTAAAATAGGTTCTAAAATGGGAGGTAAATTCACCTACCCCAAAATGGGATCAACCACAACAGTTTTGACGACCACAGCCATCTCTTCTTTTTTCCGCCCGCGAGCCGCGCCTAGGCCCCCAGGGCGCGGCCTTCGCTCCCGTCCTGCGCCGAGTGCGAGTTGACCCGCTGACGCGGGTCGCGATTGGCGCCCGAGACGAAGGTCAAAAGGGGTGGGCCTTCTTGAAGCTAAGGGGTTAGACCCCTAAAATGGGCGGGGAATGCGATACCAAAGTTGCTCATTCCCCTCTTCTTGTCACTGTTGAGGGGATTCCCTTGGCCACTCATAGAAAGTTGCAGTCTTCCCACCATGCACAAGGCTGAGCATGAGGAAGTATCAAGAGAAACGCGCTTTGCGCAAAGAACTGCCTCTGAAGTTTATTTGGTGAATCCAGCAAAGCTCCGGCCGGGCGACAAGCTTCCTCCCGGTTGCATCTCTGGTCCACTTCCGCCAGCATCACCTGCAAACCACGCGACGAGCGGGTGAAAGGATCTGCACAAAATGGCAGGGGGTGGTGCATAAAGAATCGCCATGACCCTCCCTTTGGCCATCCTTATGAAACGGACTGGGATTCTCTCAAGGAGTTGCCTTGTTGGAGAGGCCCCCCTCGGATATTCCCGACAAGGCCCTGTGTTGAGAAGGGCCATTTTGGGCTGAACGGGTGAACTGCGTCAATGAACGTTTGGGGAGCGCACAAGGGGGATCCCTCCAGGAGATTCCGCCAACAATTGTGGTTATTGAGGGTCCATGTTAACCTATGAGGGGAATGGAAAGACAAGGCCATGTCCGAAGTCAAGCCATTCACACAGGACTCTCATTTGTTCCAAACGATACTGCCCCGGCGACGCACGGACTGCTTGCCTAGTTTTTTGCCTGGCCTCCAACGTTGCACCACTGGCAAGGTCAGCCCCCCCCCCCAAAAAAAAAGGGGAAAACAAAAAACATAAACAGTAGCTTGACCCAGCCTTTTTTGGACCCCAAAGGACACGCCCTGATCCCCGCACTCCCGCCTGCGCATCCACGAGCGACACCGCGGCGCTGGCAGTGACCTCCGTCGCCTCCTCGCCGCGCGGCGAGGCACACGGACGCAGAGTCCCTTTGCCAACGCCAATCTGAACTACCCTCTCTCCCACTATCATGGCACCTGACGAAACGTGCCTACAAAGGGCGATTCAAAACAACCCCTTCAATCTACATCTGCAAACACAACTGCCTCTCTGGCAGGCGTCAGGGGGTCCCTCCAAGTGGAAACTGATCTTTCAGGAACCCTCCCTCAGGTGCCATGTTAGTGGGGGCAAGGGTAGATTGCCATCCAAACTCATATGCCGACGAAACACTTCACTGCGTCTCCAAACGAAGCAACCCCATTTCGGAAGCCCAATGTCCCGTTGGTGTCGCTTGAAAACAACCCTGCACTCAGCTCAGCAGACAACAGCGAGTCAATATCAAACATTTCAAACAATGACTTGCACTGAGTCTAGGTTGAGGAACAGTTGTGTCAACGGGAAAACGTCCCCTTGGAGCAAACAACTCGGGATTGGGATTCTGCTGCGAAGGATGAGAGTCTGTCACCTGGCCAGACTTCAAGAGTGAACCTGTTGCTGGTCGGAAGGGAACAAAAAAAAAGCATCAAGTAACGTACAGGCCAGTGTAATGCTACTTACGTCTCACTTACTTGAAGTGGACAGACGAAAACAGAGCCAAACCGAAGGTCGCAAGCCCGGACAGATGCGCAGCAAAGCCCATGTTTTTCTAGCGGACCCACAACGGCTTTCCTTTCGGTTTCCCTTTAGATCAGTCAAATAAAACGGGGCGCCGACTCCGAGAAAACGACGCCTCCGAAAAGGTGAAAGAGGCCTGCGCCGAATCGACCGATCCCCGCGCCTGGAACCAGCGCCGCACCGAGGCCATGTCACCGCCGGAGCCGAAGATCACAGGGGCGCCGGGCATCAGCAGCTGCCGCTCCGGGCACAGCGTCAGCGCGCCTGGGGGCCGCGCGGGGCTCAGTTGGGCCCCTCAGGTACGCTGCTTTTCAATAGGGAGCCTTTGATGGACATCATGTAGGTTGGGATTTGTGGCCACCAACCACTTTTGACGGGTTCCGCATAACGAGCTATGGCCACTGTTGAGAAGGACTCAAATGAAACCCGTTTGGTGTGTGTCAAAATCGGGGAAGCCCCAAAATGAAGAGTTTGCTTTTGGTTTCCCTTTAGAACAACCCCGAAAGGGGTGACTTGAAAAAGAGGCACCCCCATTTGCAGAAACCTGCCATTGGAAGATTCCGTTGTTGCGAGACCTGAAGTGGTTGGTTTCCCCTTTGGTTTCCCTGTGAAGAGTGAGCCCAAAAAAGAATACTCGCAGAAGAAACGGATGGCCAGGCGTCGTCGGCATTGCGAGCTTTGGCCAAAACTGCTCCAGCCCCCACGCAGCAAGCGACGCCGAAGCCAGAAAGTTCGCTAGAAACCTTTGGGGGCTCGCTCCACGGAGGCCAATACCTAGCAAATGCCTGTACGAGAAATTTTTAGCTCTCAAAATGTGTGAAGCCCAGAGTCGTTCATTTGGCTTCTTCTTTCCTCTTTGCAGGAGAAAGCCGTCTAAAACGCTGAACTGCCAGACTAACAATAGGGGCCTCCTTGCAGGTACGGAAGATGAAGGACCATCATGGTTGCATGTTTGCGGAAGGTGCTTCTACACCCCTTGAGATGAAAAGCAGGTTGCACTTCAAACTGCTGAGCTCCCTGTGAATCCACCTGGGGCTGAGGAGAGGTGTGGTTTTGCCCTTGCTGTCATTTAACTTTGCACTCAGGAAACCACGCGAAGTGTTGTCAACCTTGAAAATAAACAAAATGTTCGAGAACTTCCCGACAGACCGTTCCACCACTTCAACGGCCACGCTGACGCTGGCGCTCAGCTGAGGCGGGGCAGCGCCGACCCGTTGCTTTTCCATCGACTCGATGGTATCGCTTCTGTGTCGAAGGTATCGCGCTAGGCTCATTTGTTCGCCAGAAACCACTTTTCAAGTCACCTCTTGAGCAAAATCTTCGCTCACCCAAGGGAGGTGAGGAAAAATGATGGTGGCGCTGGGAAGCAAACTCGGCGAGCAAGCTGATGTGCAAGCTGGTACTGTACCAGCTGTCACAATTGCTTGCAGGCATAGGCGTCCTTTTAGGGGAAATACTTGACCACCAGGTAAACCAGGGCCATCTATTTTTGTACCAAAACAACCAAAAAGGACACCTATGCTTGCAGGGCTCGCCACCTCTAGCCGCAGCAACCGTAGAGCACAATGGCCTCGTTGAGCGCTTTGCCTTCCAGAAAAAGCTTGATGACTTCCAAATCCGCCTTGCCGAAGGCACGTTCCTTGAAGATGGGAGTCTCCAAGGTGCGGGTGCCCACTTGCTCTTGCGTCTCAATCTTCCGTGGCACTTTGTAGTCACCGAAGAATCCACTCTCGATAGTCTGCACATAGCTCACACGCGGTTCGTACACCGGAACTGTCTCCTTGTTAGTGTAGGCTACTTCTTTGGCTGCATTAAACTTTGCCCCAGACACTGCCATAGCAACTTGCATCTGAGAGTCATCTTGAGGGTTGAGTGACATGATGAGTGTTGTTTTGAAGATATGGCCAGTGCCCGCTGGATCCACGGCAAATTCTTCCCAGGAATTTGTGTACTTCTTCACGCCTTCAATACCAGCAAGAATGCTGTCAGTCACAATTTCGGGGACGCGCTTTCCCACAAGCTCAGCCCGCATCTTCTCCTTGAGCACAGACGTGGCACATTCAAAAGCTGCAACTGCCCTCATCTCCTCCAAGCCTACCAGCTTCATTTCGTTGATGATCTGGGCTTCCTGATACCCCACTGGGAACTTGAAGTTGTTGGCGTATGCAACAAGCTGCTCCTTGGCCCCAATCGGTGGGGGAGAGAGCCATCCGCGAAACTTGTTCACAAACTTGGTCGTGGCAAAAGCGCCCCGAGAGACGACGCTGTGGAAGGCCATGGCTGTTAACGTCGCAAGTCGAGCCGAATGCTGAGGGACCAAGCCTTACCAATGGCTAGTGCTAAGGTGCTATCAGGAAGGCCTTTTTGTCATCTTGTTTGGCATACCTCCAAGCGGAAACACGGTTGATGGGGCTGGACATGCAAGAAGAAAGACCCCTGTGTCATTGACAGAAACAACCATTCCTTCACACAAGAATCTTGTCAACACACCCACCCCCTGCTCTAGCACAATCTAGAGTGGTGCCTGAATGCGGCGAACTTGGCTACGGGGCCCAATGATGCTATTGACAACAAATGGCACGAAATCAGGCCTTTGACAGTCGCTGCAGTAGCTCAGTTCAAAGGAGCAGGAAACAGAAAATGACAGATTAACACAAAAACAAAAGGCGAAAACAAACAAACATAAAACACCAAACGAATAGACAACTTCTTCAACCACACATAGGCCGACATGTGGTGGAAGAACTGAAAGGTTCAAACGTCCGTCTGCCTTGGGAGTGGCTCCGGGATGATGCACAGTTTGGCACAGTTGCTGATTGAACAACTATGTTTGCCCATGATGACTAACCCTGGTGCTGGCTTACCCGACTCATCCTTGCTGTGGATTGGAGGATTCTTCAGTACCACCCTTTGTCACTGCACATGTTGCAGGAAGTTGGCCTCCAACATTTCGTCGGCATTGTGGCACTGGACACATGTGGAAAGCACATTTCCTCGTAAGATCAAAACCTATCTATCTAGCCTCTCCATTGTGCTGGCGTCAGTATTACCATCATTAGCCAGACTTGTTCAAGCAGAATCGTCATTCGCGTGGTGGATTTTCCGGAGGAATTCTCCGGCCGGGTGGCAGGTATCAGAGTTTGCCGCCGTGACTTTGACTTTCCTTTGTCTCTGCATACGTTCCTACTGAGCCACGGACATTGCAAGGAAGACAACGAGTTGGCAAGCTTTGGGCTTACAGAGCTCAGTTGCTGGACGCTGCTTCTTCTAGGTGTTTCCGGTCATGTGTTTGGGTGGCAATGGCCGTGTGGGAAGCCGTCCGTCTGCTGCAGTTGGCCACACCAACAGAAAACGTGAGAACTGGAATGGACAGCAGCTTCGAGAACTTTGCGAATGTCATCATTATGTTTGGTCAATACTGTTGTTCCATGTCGGACCCACTTATCGAGCGAAACTTGTGAATCTCGCATTGACTACATTGGATCGTTGCTACCATTTGTTAGTTCATTTGCTTTTTTGCGTCGTTCAGGGCAACGCCTTCAAACAATTGCAACCTCTGGCTGGCAAGACGGTCGGCCACTGCACTGTGCTTTTCGGAACAAACTGTGCTATCAGGAGTCCGCCATGCTGGCTTCCAAATGAGATTCAATCTTACAGGTTCGGAGTGTGCAGGAGGCACATGGGCAGGAGGAGTGTCTTAACATTGATTGAGCAGCGCTTCGGGAGCAATTTCTGGACCAATGTGCAGGGGGCCCGCCCGGGCGATACTGGCAACTCCTCAACAGGGTTGTGCGGGATGAAGTGGAGAAGATCTTTGGAACGAACCACGTGGCTCTGGGAGACCGGTCTTTGAATACTCAACAGGCGTCTGTTGATCAAGCGCACGTGGAACAGCTTGCTCAATTGTCTCATCTTCGCTTACAATATGTTGTTCACCCCTGTATGAAGTACGAAGAGTTTCATGATGCCTGGACTGGCCGTGACCATGCTCGCATGTGGAAAGCAGCACGCTTGGCACACAGGGCGCTGGACTCAAAACGCCGCGGTATGATGTTGGCTGAGCAACCCAGCGCGAGCCAACGGGAGTCCCGCGAATGCTGCGCGCACTCTGCCGGATGTGCAGCAGTTTTGGGATGACCCACAGCAGCCAATTACACCCACATGCAACCTCCTTCGTGACAAACTCTGCTCCCGCGACAGTGAGTTGGGTCGAGTTGGGCTTATGATCATGACTGGATTTGATTGTAGTGGCCCAAGCAACCCGTTCCATTCTTGAGGCCTTACCATAAGTGCAAAATGTCTTGCCCTGGCGCTGATCAGCATCAGCAGGGCGGCACGCTGCTGCTCCAGCACAGGTGCTACCTACGCGAACGCGAGTTGGTATTGGGCCGTGTGGTTTTGGGTGGGATCAATGGATGTGTCCGGGCCCTAAGCCCCTAAAAGTTGCACGAGTCCATAGGAAAAACCTCCGACCCCTCCACAGGAACATCCCGACGAATTTGCGACGTGCTGCCGCCAGGCTCATGGCAGGCAGCGCTTCCCCGCTGCGCCTCAGGTGAGACGTTTCGGGGAACGCCAACTTGGCTACCCAAAATCGCCTTAAAATGGAAAGGGGGAAGGTCTTAAACTGGGGACCGCGCAAGACCCTTGAAACCAATTTAAAGAAGGGTACCTCAACAAAAAAAAAAACACCCATGTGTCCACGATGCAACTAGCCAAATTGACCCTGCGATCTTAACTCCGCAGGTCTGTGAGCAACCCAAGGCGACCCAGGAGAAGCAATTTGATGTTGATACTGTGGATGGACAAAATCCTGCACCACCTACTAAACCCAATGATGATTCCCCTGTACATACCAACAAACATTGGCTTTTCATGGCTTCATGGTGCGGGAATCTGTCCATTCACAGTAGGGGCTGTCCCATTGAGGGAATTCTTGCACACTTCGATGAATCCGAGAGGTCGAATTATCGGAGTCACTACCTAAATGTGCAACCGTATCTTTGGTTGGGAGGTTGGCTTCAAGTCAAAACCACCTTCCCCGCTGTTTACCCAGGGAAGACCATGCCATGCGTTCGCCTGTCTGCAAGGTGTTGGCGCGCAAAAAGACTTAACATTGGTATGCCTGCGAGGTTCCAGGAGATGTGATAAGGTCCACCTTGTGTTGAGAGGAACTACAAAGTTGTGTCTTTAGGTTGCAAATGACTGTAGGAGAAAGTGAAAACCCGATCTTCAGGTATTGCGAGTTCTCTCGCGTAGAAAGAAATGCCTTCCGGATGACTGGGAACAAGCACTGGTCAACAATGGAGCGCGCCCAAACGATGTGAGGAATCACAAGGGCGGACACCCAGTTGCGGTCGGCAAACCTTCACTTATCCAGGCTTTCACTGGCTTGTGCAGTTTTCTACCTCGGCCTCCGACCTCAGAGATCTGTCGAGCGCGGAGTACAGGGAGTATGCCACGGTGGCCGCTTTGAGGTACTCCTGGAAGAACACACGTGCGGCCGGCACGGCTCCGCTGGAAACGGCAAACACGTGCCACGTCCAGCGAATTCAGTGAATATGCATGGCGTCCCCAATTGCCATGGGATAAAACCCCTTTTTCCCAATCGCAGTGGGGGAGTGCACCTTGTCATCCCCGCAGAGTCGGTAGAGTGTAGTAAATATTGACCTTTGTTCATCTGATTACGTGACTGATGGAAAAATCACCGGAAGATGATGTTGACCCCGTATTAATCAACTCCAGTTTATTGCTAGGGGCGTATCCCTGGGATTAGTGGGGAATCATCACTTTTGGATCAACATTCCATGGGCCAAAGCCGAGGTTCGATTGACAGGACCCCACTCTTCGAAAATGTGGGGCGACAATTCCGGTTGGACGTTCGGCGAAAACCTGGCTTCAAATCATGCCTGCAAATCAAACTACCGAAGCCGGAAACCAAATCATGCCTGCTTCCACAAAACGTGCAAACTCTCGTAAAATGAATATTCTTCTTGTGGGAGTCAAACAGAACGAACCCCCAGGCACGTTTTAGGCAACCTGCTAATTCAAACAAAGCATTCAGCAAATCCATAGGTGTGATCAACGGCCAAAAGGTCCGGTAAAGGGAAGGAGGCATTCGGCCGAAGGCCTTGTCGCTGAAGTAGAGGGCGTAGAGGTGCTGATAGCACGCCAAAGCACTGGATCCCGCCACCGGCATGCCGATGCCGGCGTTCCTGGTAGGGTGAGGCTCGGTGTGCTTGTGCCAACATGGGTGTCTCTTTGTTCGGGGACCCCCAGAAATGCCAAAAAGGGGGTAGCGTCAGAGAAATGCTTATGTTTTTTGCGGGTACCCTTTTCCATCTTGGTATGAACTCTCCTATTTGAGGCACATGTTGAGACTCTTTCAAAGCAGGAAGGCAATCAGCGACTCACAGATCCTTCTATCTCTGGCACATGCGCAGCTCGGAAAGCATTAGGTCGGGAGCTGGGCATCGGCCTGGCGGCCTGGTGCAAAAGGGATCGGGGCGTGGTCCGGCCCGAAGACCAGTTGTTTTGTCCAATGATGATGCCCGATTAGCCCCCCAAAACCTTAGACAGACTTAGACCTCCTGCAAAAAGTCTTCCCCCCCCCAACCCTTTTCAATCCAAAAAAGAATGTTCAACCCCGGTCCCATGGAGCTTGTCCAACAGCTGCTGCCGCTGCTCGGCGTCCATGGCGCTCGCACACTCCACAGCTAGCACCGTCGCCTCGCTTCGATCGGTCGGTCGGAGCTAGGAGCTGGATCAGTGATCCGGATGAAGGCCGAGTTGAACTGTTGATAAACAAACGATTTGAGTGAAGAACCGTTTTCAGTTTTGCCACCCTGGTGTGGCTTTGACTTGTCGTCCATCAGTACGAGTGCAATGTGTGCACCCTGTGCAAGTCCCATCTTGGAGAAAGGTTCATTAAATGGCGCCGTGGCGACTGTTCGACGTGCACGAGCCAGGATGCTTTTTGCGGTTGAGGTGGTGGAATGGTACTAGGTGTCATGCAACCCCGTGCTATGGTCCTGCCTTTAGAACGGCGATTCGACGTGCACGAGCTAGGATGCATTTTGCAGTGCGCAGCGCCGACAAGGTATAGATTTGGATTCTAGACCTACTCTACACTTCATCAGACCATCAGGAAACCCTACATGTTCCTGCATGAAACAAAGCTTTTAGACATCACCACACAAGGAATCTCACGTAGAACTGGCCAGAACGCCTGACGCTCTTTTGTCTGGGTGTCCTTTTTTGTGTAGGTACCCGGTAACAAGGGCAAGCCACAGTGAAATCACACATGTTTGAGCTTGAGTTTCAGATGCATGGATGATTTGATGGGGCACTTCTTCGCACAACCCACCCATAGCAAGGCGACTCTTGGTTCATCCATGCAGAAAGAGTTGGAGCTGCAGCAAGAATTCTTGGACCCATGAGTCATTTAGACCTGGCAAAGGTGTTAAACCCGTGAGTGCCGCTTCCTTCCATTTCTGGTTGGGACTGTCCCCTATCCCGCATCGGTTCCTGGGCTGCGCCTGCGGAACCCAACTAGCGCATTTGATTTGACTTACGAACAAGGAAAGCCAAACAAGCATAGGCGACCTGTCGATGAAGAATAGATGGGTTGTCCTGGTATCTGGAGTAAGACCCATCTAAACCAGTGGCTTGCCCATCTATTTCTCCAAACAAAGCTTACGCGAGCTCAAGGGTACCAAACGCGCCTTTTTTGCACAGGTTGCTTCGCAAGGGATACACTGGAGTCAATCCAACACCCAGTGGCAGGCCTGAGAACGCCAGTGGCAAGGGCCACTTCACAAAACGGGCGGCCGCTCGCGCACGCCACAAGCGCCCGACTGGGCTGGAGGAGGGAAAAGCGGGCGCAGACATCGGGCCGCCATCTGGGCGGCAGATCTGGCACGCCTCCTCGCGTGGGCGAGGCGGGACGGCTTTGCTGCACTAAAACGGATGCGAGTCCACACGCCAGGCGAGTCACCGGGAGAGATCGGGTGCTCTGAGACGGGGTCCAAAAAACAGGCAGCCGCAAGAACCTGTTTGCTGTGCTTGGTGGAGACAGCGGGATCCTCCGTGGCAAAACGGATAGGCAGAAATGGCCAAAGCGGTCAAGAAGTCCGAAGTCCGCCGCTCCCTCTGCGTGCGCTTGCAGTGACCCCGCACTCATCGAGCTCCGCACAACTCTCGGTGATTGCCCGGAATTTCTTGCTGCATTCAGACACAGCCTGCCTTTTGGGGCATGCAAGGTGGTAGCAAGCAGAACTGAGTGCTTCCAAAAGGGGAATGCGTGTAGGGCATGTGGCTTCCTTTTCGTTTCCCTTTGAACCAACCCGGAAAAGGATACCCGTCAATACTACAAGGGGATCCCTTGCGAGGGCTACAAAACCCCGCCTTAGCTCAAGGCACCCATGAAGCTGATAAGCTCCACCACATCGATTTGTCTCTGAATGGCGGGAATCCACATGGGGCCCGAGTCCCGGCCCGAGTCCCTTGGAACCCCAACATCGGCATCGAAAAAGAAACTGAATACACGGCGCGGAATGTCACTCTTAGGGGAAACCCCACGACTCTGCAAAGGACGGCCATGCCAAACCCCTTGGGGACAGGCTGTTTCGATTTCTCACGAGCGAGTCAGCGGCGGCACGCCTTTCAACCCATGGAACCTGCGGCAGTTTGTTTTCTGGGGACCTGGAGAGTTCACCGAAATGGGGTGCCCTTCTTGGTGGGTACCCCAATTTGGTTGGTTTTGAAGGGAAACCAAAACAGAAAGACTCATGTTCAGGCTGCATGTCCAAGCTTGAGGAGTTTCCCGTGTAATTCATCCCAGTTTGGAATTCTGGACCAAACCGAAATGTGCGGCTTCCATTCTTAGCTGAACCCTGTTTTGGGTATCTCCCAAAACATGCCGTCCCTTCCACCGACGCGGAATCCGACAGATTCCGAGGAAGACAATCCAGGGAGGTTCCCTCAGCTTGCATAGCGGGAGGGAGGATACCCATCTATAGGCTGTGAGTCCTCCACTTTTGCGGGCCCGTCACGTTTCAGTTTTCGCTTGCCTCTTGAAGCTTGCCTGGCATCATTCAGCCCAGCCCAAGAAACATCATCACTTTCATTGCAACAAAGTACAGACCCAAAATCCAAGGAAGATGGCCCTCTCCATGTCCTGTTGCTTTTTGCCGGGTCTCCCTTCAAAAGCAATGTTGAGATCCAATCTCCACAACTCACTGGGATGGCGCCTCGCTCGCCTCACTCGCGAGCGGCATTCACTCCCCGCAGCTGCTGCGCGCGGGAAAGGTGAGATGAAAGAAGAAAAACGGCCACGCCAGTGCCCGATTCGCCCCCCTAAGACTCAAACTCGATCACAGATTTGTTCGCCAGCTCGCATGCAAAAAATGATCCCTCACTTCTTAGGCCTGGCAAGTTCTTCTCCAGATTGGCATAGCGCGGCATTTCTCCGACTGCGATCTTCTGCGCCCAAGCGAGCCGCGCAAAAGCTCACCCTGACCTGATGCCAAAACCAGCCAGGGTATCGAAGACATGCGGAAATGGAAAAGTCTTCACAAAGACTAACTCCAAAACAGGTAATCCCCCTTTTCACCCTGAGATACTCATTTGGGTGATAAGGGATCTTGTGGTGGACATCATTTGAGCAATTATGTCCACCAACCACAAGGGTTCCCCATTGAAAATTCACAGCCATTGCCAGAACTTGAGCCACAGACCCCATGGGCGGCAGCCGAGTTTTGGCGGCTCGCTTCCCAGGGCCTTCACGCCGGAGCTTCGAATCTTTATCTATCGCGCGGGCGAGGGAGGGAGAGTTGTCAATCTGCGAACATCATTGGCTCGTTGGGGAACCTGGTGATACTGCTTAGTGGTTGGTTCGAGCCCAACATGCGAAAATAGTTGATTCGAGTGTAGCATGCAAAAGTAGTTAATGCGAATGCAACCACGACTGAGCGTCAGTTTGGGCCCTTGCCTTTTGCCCCTTGCGGAACTTGGCACAAGTGGTTTGCATGTCCAACAGCAAGCTCGTGCCGCACAGGGCGAAGTGGACACCTCTGGAGCTTCTCCCCCCAAAAAAACCACCTGGACACCAGACTAAGAACCTGGATGATTTCGCGAAATCCGCGAGTCGCACCACCGAAATCAGAAGCCCTGGAATCTCTGACTCGATTCCCCAACCTAAGTACCAAACAAACGTTATGGTTGCAACTATGGTGTCATTTCATGGTGCAAAATCGATTTCGTCCAACAGTAGGTGTACACGGAAGACATTTGTCAGGGGCAAGTACCGCACAAAATTACGTGAACCGTTGAGCCCTGCACAAAAATTAGGTGAACCATTGAGCTCTCGGAAGCTTATAGGAGATGCCGATGCGAAATGCCAAATGACTCATGTGTTCTGTTTTGCTACGGATGTGTTGTTCTTTTCCATTTTGGGGTTGGCCTTGAAGGAAAACCAATGGGAAAGCCCATTATTTTGGCAGAGGGGGGGGGCAACTAAAGTGGCTTGTCACGCTTATTGATTGGTACTGAAGCCAAACGCACTACAAAACAAAAGAAAGTGCCTGGAGCATTCTCTCATCAAGCAGCTTTTGCCCATGCTATCATGATCATACCCGAGTGTCCAGGGCCCGTTGGATCTACACATGTGCACATCTTGCATTGATCAACTTCCGATCCCCTGGCCAACAGATCTGAACTGAGGTTGGACTTCAATAATTGAACTGAATTTGATAGCACCCTGATTATCAGAATAACAGACGTAGGATCTGAAAAGACTTTTCTCCTTCACCAGTCTGACTTCAAAAATCCACAAGGCACCTTCATCAAGGCTAAGCTTACTAAAACCCCCATGAGCTCGCTAACACTTCTTCGTGTGCAAATGGTCTTAGAGCCATGTAGCCAAACAACAGTCTAGGGAAAGCAGGCCCAGTATCGTATTTTGCCAGGTCGGTCATTGCAAATTTGCAACACTGCCGGTTCTCAACAAGGAATGAAGGAATAACCCCCTATAAGCAATCCTCTATGGTTTCCGTTTTCGGGAAACCCCAAAGCCGGCTTCGCACATTCCCAAAGCCTATCGCTGCAAATGAGAACCGTCCAACCAAAACCCTAAGATCTGTGAGACGGGCTCACGATTTCCTCTCGCTCCCTGGCCTCAGGGCCTCAAAAAGGCCTGGGCCGATCGAAGCCCAGGAAATGGGTGGCTCCTCGTCCGTTTTTACACCCACTAACATGGCCCCCGGGCTTCCTCTCGGTTTCCTTGAGAAAACCAACCAAAACCTTGGGCTTCCTCTTGGGCTTCCTCTTGGTTCCCTTCTTGGTTTCCTTCTTGGTTTCCTTCGAAAGATTGGGTACCGACGACCAAAAAAGATGCACGCAAATTGAGCAAAACTTGGGATCTCCGGCGGAAGTTGGATGCAAGTGGCTTGCTGAAAGCTGGCCGGAAGATCGTTCGACCTTCCCGCCCGCCCCACCAAAAAAAAGGAAATGTAGAGCCTCTCTTGTTTGAAGCATCTCTTGTTTGAAGCAGGGTAGCGTTTCCTTCGTCCCAGCCACTCGGCTGGCTCCCGCTCATGACTCTTTGCCCAGCAAATCCCCCCCCCAAAAAAAAGAAGAGAGCAGCCGTTCGGCAAAAAACGCACAGTGGCAGTCCGCGCCGCCCAAATCATTATACCATCAAAGTCACCCCCCACAAGGGAAGCACCCGCAGTTTCGTGGGAAATAGAGTCTAATCTGGTCCCACGCAAGGATGTCTTCAATTGAACGTTGCCAACCCTGGCTGACCGCACCTAACCCTGGCCCTGGGACAACCCCCATGGATCCTCAAATTCACATGACCTCTGGCAGTCGAACGGTCGCAACGCCGCGCGCCTCAAGCGGTCATGAGATCCGAAAGCTCACATTGCCACGCTGAAGAGCCTGCGGTGTGCAACAGGAAGCCCTTCTTCTGGATACATCGAAAGCGTTCAAAATGGCGATGGCGAATGATTCGGACTGAATTGGAACCAGATGACATCTATGTTGAAACTCACTTATGAGTGAGATTCTCAGAGGGAAACCAAGCAAACCTCTGGGGATTCCCCAGATTGTCACTTGGTGTTCCATTCATTCCATCCAAAACCCCCCGAAACAAAAATCCTCTGCATGTTCAGAGTACGCCTATCCGAAATTGTCCCATGGCTGCAGTTGCTTTTGGGGGATGCTCGGTTGTCCAAAAGTTCACCGCGGTCTTGATGGCGAACTTTCCCGATATCGGAAAGATCGTATCTTAGGGTTCTCCAACTAACGGTCCTCTCATGTAAGGGACCTTTTGATCAACTCCCATGCATTATGATGACTGCAGGTAATGAATCTTAATGGCTCTTGGTAAAGCAAAGCTGACGCCAGGCCTTAGCCATCTGGACACCCAGGATTCATAGCTGGCTGATTGAGAGGATCTCGGATCACTTTTGTGGGAACCATCTCTCAAACAAATCCGTCAGGTGGTCATTCGGGAAGGCTTCTTTTCCACATGCGGTCAAGTACTGGATGTGACAAAAACCCGGTCATACTGTTTCACTGTCCGTTCTTGTTCGCTTCAGGCTTTATGTTTTTGCACGCTAGTGGTGAGGCCTGTTGCTGTGTCGCCCCGTGGGAGCACGCTTGGAAATTCAATCTGCCATGGTGCAGCACCGTGGATGAACGGAATCCTGCACCACTTTGAAACCATGGAAACCATTGTTTGTTTGGTGTTTACAGGGGATGATCATTCCAGGGCTTGTTGGGTGTTGCAGAATTGGCGAGGGTCCATTCCGGACCCAAAATTTAGTCTGAACCTCAGCCCAGGTCCCTCGACCCAGCCTAAAGCGCTTTTCTACATAGGAGTCCCCCTCCTGCGCGAAACTGCAGCGGCGCATCCCGGCGCTTGTTGTTTGAGCACATCCCCACCAGTCCAGCTAGTCAACACCAGGCATCCCAAGCAGAAGCATCTTTGAAGCTCACAGGTCCAGCCTCTTGCTAGGCTCGAAAGCAGAACTTTCCAGACAAATATCGACTCCGGGCTAGCGACAGGCTGCACCTAACTTGGTTCCCGCAAGAACCTCCGAGTTTCAGCAAAGTGCGAGGTCGTACGGGCCAAACGGCCCCAGGGCGGTGGATATGCTGCGTGAGCCGCGAAAAACCATTCCCTTCGGGTTCATTCCGCTTCCGGGCTCGGTCATTCCCAGAGCACCAGCCAGAGCCGTTGCAACGCACTCCTCTGGGCTGCGTCGCGCGAAGGCCGCCGCGCCCTGCGGAAGCTCGGGAGGCCGGAGATGGCTTGCCGCCCAAATGGGCCCCGGTGAAGGCCTTGATTTCAAGAGTCCCGGGTTGCTTTGAGTTTAAGTCAGGCTACAGGGGCCACGCGCCAGGGAAGCTGGCAAGCTTCAGCTCACTTGCTTAAACCCACCCTTCCGCAAAGCCGTTGGACCTGGAAAAGGGTTTGCCGCGAGCGGCTTCCTTTGTGCGTGGAGGAGAACAGGGCTTACCTAATTAAAGCTTAACCTGCTGGAACTCTTCTTCGGCGCCACTCCGCCAAACGAAAGCCCAACAAGCCGCTCTACTTGTTCTGCGCGTTGCGAACACCGGGGGAACATCAAGCGCCCACGGTTGCGCTGCTCCCCAAGGGATCAAAACCACTTAAGTAAGTACTGGCATCCCACCCACTAACATGACCTGACCGGAGTCCGGAGGAGGTCTCCGGAAGACAATTGTCCCCTCCTTCTTGGGCCATGTTCAAGGGAAGCCAAACGGAAACCACCCATTGTCGGAGTTCCTATTCTTAAGACAACGCCGCATATAGTAGCTAACCGGAGGGCCCAAGTGTGTCTTTGAAACTAAAAATCAGGAGAAAGCTATCACTATTAGAAACCCCTCATGTGACACAATGAGTACATATGGGTCTATCATTTCTTGAAGGTCCCCCCCTTTGGTGTGGCTGGAAAGCGAAACAAAAGGAAAACCATTGTTGGGGGCCCCCTAAGCATAGACACCCCCATATGGCTGTGGGTCAAAAATGGGTAGCCAAAATGGAACCCTGGTAAATGGAACCAACGACTAAAACCTGCGGTCCCCTCGTAATTTACTTTTAACCCATACCCATATCCCACACCGGGTGGTGCTGCTGCCTCCACGTGGGCGGCGGCGCATTTCGCCAGGAGCGCCAATGGCGCGCCGTTGCCTCGACCCGCCACATGAGGGCCATGTCTTTCTGGGTGTCGACCATGAACCAGCCACCCGTTAAACAGAACGGTTGACAAGGGTGCCGAACAACGAACAAGACCCTCTTTCTACTAGGCCATGGTTTCAGGGAAAACTCCAAAAAAGTAACCCCTATGAAAAATGCGAGAAAAAAAAAAAAAAAAAAAACTATAGAAGCAGCTTCCTTCTCATTTTACCAACTCAGGTCGTTCTATCAGGGGTTGTTTGGTGGGGTCAAGGGGCGCAACTTGATTGCCGACCATTTACAGGATCAAGTCTCCAGCTTAAGACGCGCTGCTCAAAGGGAGACCCTCAAAATGCCGTTGGTTTCTCTTTTGCTTCTCCATTTTATATAATTGAAGAAACCCTCAAAAAGGATACACCCCGGTGTTCAAAGATGCTTTCCACAGGGTTGGCACCCTGGAAAAACATCGTGGAAGTTGAAAAAGATATCTCGCATGTCCGGCGATCATAAAAGTCAGAGGGAAAATGCAGCGGCCTAGGCCTGTGGGGCGAAGTTTGACTAGGCCTAAAAAACCCTCTAAAAGGAGTCTGGTGCACCGTTGCGCTTGGTTTGCCTCATTTCATCTGTCTCCTGCGTTGCGGCGGCTACGAAGACACGTTCGCATGTCAATTGTGTGGCTTCACTGGCGCAACAAAATACGGTGAGTTGTTGGAAGTGTGCGCGCCAAAAACATAGATGCCAAGCCCAAACACGGAGTAATTGCACCTGGTCTTCATGCCGGCAACTTCGAGAAAAAATCTGCCGGACATCGGACATTCAAATTGTGGCACTCGTGGCCCACATTTCGGCGTCAACTTGCAAGTGACGAAGCCAAAGATTCTGTGACAAAAATAGGGTAACCCCAAAATGCCTGCCCTGGAAAATGTAATGGACTAAAGCCTGCGGTCCGCTAGCTTCATTTTGACCCACCAAATGAGGGTTGTTCAAAAAGACAAAGGTCCCACTAAAGAAAAGGCCCCCCTTTTGTAGCCATACCCTTTTTGAAGAACTAACAGCTATGTGAAACATATGTACATATGTACACACATACATGAGTGTGTCTGTGTGTGTGTGTGTGTGTGCGTAGCAATGATATATATATATATATACACATATATATGTATATATACATATATAGTATGCACACATATGTATATATGCATACATATGTAGTATGCACAGAACATCACATTTACATAATCATGTCACGGCTACCCCCGTGTTTGTGATAAGTGCCCCATACAACGGGAAGATTTAGATCGCTGGGCTCCTTGCTGCTGTGAAGAACGTAGAGGCCCATGACAAAGGAGAGGATGGACATTCCATCCTGGTTGTCTCGAACCCCGGGTCCGAGAGGCGCTTCAAACATTTGTTGGCATGGGAAGTTCTTGGGGTCCGTTGGGGTGTCCTGCAGCTCCTTGAAAATTCTTTGGGTTCCCTCGGGGTTTTTTAGGCCTCCTTGCGAATTCCTGCGATTCCTTTCAAAGCTTTGGGCAAACCCAAAACCGAGGGTGGGGTCCTCTTGGTCGTCCTTGAAATCGCCCAACCAACACCGGAGATTGAAGGAGAAGGAGTCTGTCCCTTTCAAACCGGACCAAGACTGGGTTTGACTAGACCTGAAACATACTCTTGTGGAAGAGTCGATGTCAACGACTCCAGTAGATTCTGTGATGTATTTACATATTTTGGTTCCTTCGCAGAAAAGCACTCATCGGGCTGGGGCACAGCAGCGAAGCCAATCCGGTCGAAGCTGGAAAAAATCGACCCTGCTCTCCCCCGATTTATATACCCCGGCCCAGCTGCCAAGAGCATCTTTTTTCTGTCTGTCTGTGGGCGTCAGCGCAAGTTGCGAGTGACACGTGGGTCTATCTGCAAATGGAGTCTCCCCAATGAGGTTTCCCTCACATTTTCCGAAATGGATGCGTTGCCTTTGATTTCCTCATAAGACCACCCCAACCAAGCTTCCAACTCATACTAATTATTTCAAATTTCAGAAAGACATACCCACGTTACACCTGAGTACTCAGCCATCACGGCGAAGAATCTGCCCGTCGCCGCTGCGGCTTTTCGGCGACCGGCATCGAGTCACTCAGCTTAGATGTCCTCTGAATTCAGCATTTGGGGGGGACTAAAACGAGTTCTAACAAATAGATTATATGATGCTGCCTACACACGTAATAAACTCCTTTGGTGCCTTTCGGCACGCGTTTAGAGTCCCCTGACAACTGTAATCCCTCGTCAAACGTCGCATGTCCGGAGTCAGAACCAATCGCGGCACTCCTCCAAGAACTTCTCCAACTCCTCCTGATCATCACCTCTCAAAATGTCCTCTGAGACATTTGGGAAATCGTCCGGCCCTCCCTCTGGTCTGGGAGCTGGCCTTCCTTCTTGCGCCTCGCCCGCGCCCTCTGCATCCGCACCCTCCACCTCTGCGCCTTCCGCGCCTTCCGCGCCTTCCGCGCCCTCTGCGCGCTCCGCATCGCCGCCTTCGGCGGCGCCCTCCACGCCTTCCATGGCCGCGCCCGCCACTTCGCCTGCGTCCTGAGTGTCCCCAGCGACCTCCGCGACCTCCGCAACCTCCGCCGCCGCAACCTCCGCGACCTCCGCGGCCTCCGCGGCCTCTGCGACTTCCGCCGCGCTTCGGCTTCTGGCTGCCTCGGGCTCGCTGGGCTCTGCAACAGCTGCTTCCTGACAGGGCAGGCCTCTCGAGCTGCTGGAAACTAGAAACAAATGCTATGACTTGCTCCTTCAATCCTGTCATGGCAAAAAAGACTGGTTGCACAAGCAAAGCTCCACCTTCCATTTGCCTAGGTTCCCTGGACAACAAAACGAAAGGAAGTGACAAACCTTTAAAGCCAACCAGGAAAAAACAAAGCAATATCCCGCAACACCCAAACGGACGCCCATTTCACCACTTCAACCAGCGCCTGAGACTCAACCGGCGCCACCGGATCCACTGGCGGGGCCGGGTCTGCGTACAAGACTCGACGCCACGCGGCCGTGGACTCTGCGGGCTCCCCCGGCGGGGGCACGTCCTGGGAGGCGTCCATCATGACGTCCTCGGGCGCCGGCCTGGCACGGCCCTTCGGAGTGACGTGCCCAAGGGTGGAGTGGGGGGGGGGGGGAGACGGGGGGGAGAAAAACCAAAAACGGGGAGAAAACGGCACTGACTCCCATTTGGGTGTGTGTGTGTGTGGGTAGTTGAGAACCAGAAGGAAAACCGCGGCCACTTGTTGGGGATCGCCCGACTTGGTTTTCGACGTGAGCCAAATCCCCGAGTTGTGGGTTGGATACCCTAGACTTTCCAGCTGAGTGAAGAGAACGGGGGGACCATGTCTTGGCCTTCGGATCACAACTTCTTTTACTTCTGCCCCCGTTGCTTGGATAGCCCAACCGCAATGACAAACCTCAGACGCGCAAGCCATTGGTGACCTATCCGCGCGTTGGATCCGATGTCTTGAGAGGGATGCTCAATCATAACGTACCATGCGCACGCCTAAAGATTTGCCAAAAAGCCAAATCAAAACTCATGACAAATCTATGTGATTCAAGCTGGTAGAATCTATTTCATTGCGATCAGTCAAAATTTGGTATGAAGTGAGTCTGCCGAAAACCACGTACAGAACTCAAAGGGCAGAACACCACGACTTCTTCTGGTCGGGATGGCCCCCCACTAGCCATACGGGTCCCTCAACAGCATCCCCTCTAGTGGCTTGACACTCAAATGTCAAGCCATAAAGCAAGAAAGAAGTGCTCGGAAGACGAAGAAAGCCAAAAGGAAACCAACCCCCATGAGATTTCCTGGTTGACGCATTGCCTCCGAAGCCGGACGAAAAAGAACGGCTTCCCAGCCTCTCGGTTTCTGGATCTGGCTGGTTGGCTTTGGCCTGCTTGGCCTTCAGCTCCGCCTTGGCCTTCTGCTTGGCCTTCTGGGCGTCGGCCTTGGGGATCATGCCTCGGGCCGGGTGACTCGCCTGATCCGTTGCTTGCCCCTCCAGCGCGCTGCCAGGAACGGAACTTCCGGGAAAACAAGACTGCCACCAATGGGGCAGTGCCCCGATACCATTGTTTCTGTTGGCTTCCTAGAACTCCACCCAGAAGACTTCCCCGACAATGTTTGGGACCTTCGAAAGGAGCTGTCCCAAGCCTTCGAATTGGGGCCCACTCGAAGTTTTGGCCACAGCCAAACGTAAGTTTAGCCCCCTTGGGCTTTCAGACACCGACTGGGATTCCTAAACCCGAACACCCCTGTCCGGCCCAAAACCTCACCCCACCACCCCACCAACCCACCAAGCCATCAACCCATCAACCCCCCCTCCCAACAACAAAAAAGAACGCCCCACTACTCCCCAACCACATGGGTGTCTTTTTTGAGGGTACCCCCTCCCCTGTTTTGTTTTTTGGCTTTGCAGGAAACCGAAGCCATCTCCGAGCGAGAAGCCCTCCATGGTCCGACGGAACTTCCTGCGCTCCGCTGCGCTCATGTTGTCAATATCGATGACGAAGTCCTCCGAGCCGTCGAACTTCTTCACGAGCTCGTCCTCCTGATCCGAGTTCAGCATGTCCTCGATCCAGGCGGGTCAAGATGGGACTATGGGGCCCCATGGGAGAAAGGTATCCTGCAAAAACACAAATCCCGCGGGCAGAACAGCGGCTCCGAGAAGCCAGAACCACTTCGAGGAACAGGAAAGGGGATGTGCAACAATTGTTGCGGAAAGCAAAACAAACAAGGGATGCCCTGGGAGCAGTATTCCAACGTGTGGGTGCCTCTCTCTTTTGGAGTGGGTGCTCTTCTTGGGGTTGTGCCATACCCAAGGCAACAGATCTTTGGGGTGGAGAACAACCAAAGAAAAATGCAACATATACCATCACGCGATCCAATTGTCCAAACTCCCGGACTCTCTGCATGGCGGAAAATCAAACACACACAACTCCGAAACCATGTTGTTGCTTTTTTATCCGAGTGTTTGGATCTCCGGCCTTGCTTCGGATACAAATCCTAACGCCCACGCGCCGGGGGGGGGGGGGGGGGAAACTGCTGTCTCTGAAGGCAACTCAAAACAAGTCAACTTGCCAATTTCCTGAATAAGATGAACAGAGGTGCACGCAAGGCCAGCTCATGCCAAAGATATCACCCACGCCGGACCAAGGATTCTGCGGTCCCGCTCTAAAGATCACCCCAGCAACAGGAAGCTCACTTCAAACTTGCTGAAAGGTGTTCACAAGTCTCACAGGGCAAGGGTCCACCAGGCTCTCCAAGTAGGCCCGCTCTTCCTCAGGCACCTCCTTCGCCTGCGGCATCTGGCGGAATCCGTGGAAACGAGCACTGAAGGAAGCCTAAATACCCACTTCCCGAGTAGACTGGCCAGAAGTCCGAAGTTGTTGTGTACCAAAATGGTCTTCAAGTCCAGGAACTCAGGAAGCGAGTACATGCGGATGGTCAAGCAATGGTGGTTAAAATTTTACAGACAAAATTGGCGCCGTCGTGTTCAGTCTGCCCTTCTTGGAGTAGCCTTTTTCAGCACGAAAGGAAACCAACCGCCTAAAAGGGTTCAACCCCCAAAAGAGGCAAACCCAACGAACCCCAGACATGGTAAAGTTGGGCGAGCCACCACATCTCTTGCATATCCCACATACCCCCAGCAATTTCGCGAGGTGAGCCCCAGGTTTTTTGCGGAAAGTGTCGGAGGGCCCTCCCATGTCCTCCCAAACCAACAGCAGACTACCAATCATTCATCTTTTGCGTCACTTACTGCAAGAGACAATATTGACCCCATCAACCATGTCGGAGGGCGAGCTTCCGAGCCTTAGCCTCCCCTTTGTCGGCTTCGCCATCGGCCTTCTGCCGCTTGCCCCGATCCTCGGACTCCTGAAGCCGCTTGCGAGTCTCTCAACGGTCTCTCTGGGGATTGGAACCATTTGGAATGGCAAATTCCCCCCGAAGTCTGGCGTAATTTTCGGCCGGAAGCTCAGGGCGTCTTTTTTTGGGATGGAAGTGATGGAAGTCCCTAAGATTCATCGTGGCAACAGCCACTTGCGCCCACCCTTCATACGTGTATCCTTGAAAAAAATGTTGTTGGAACCGCTGTGTTTTGGAGCCCACGCCGATCCTCCAGTTCACTATTGCTTACAACTTGTCTTGCTTGGTTGTGATTGAGCTCACACCCCCAAAAGGGATGAGAACTCAGTGTAAAGCAACCACAAAAGGGTCTCCCAAACAATGGACGCACGCCCCTTTGGGTTTGCCTTTCTCAGGAGAGGGACCCTGGGGAAAACCTAGGGGCAACCTAGGGGCAATCCTCTTCGCAACCTGAGCATTTTGACCTGTCTCAGTCACTTCCCGCTCCTCGGCCTCCCGTGCCCGCTTTCTCGAGGCCGGCTTCTCCTTCGCCTTGGGCTTCGCCTTCAGGACTTTCGAACAATGAACTCTCATTTTCATCGGGAACCCTGTTGAATTTCGCCTTTTGTTAAGCATTCAAAATACAAGGACGCCATGGCGTCACATGTCGAACCTGCGAATGGCCACCCGCCTCCTTGGCAGAAGCCTTTGACGAAACCGGCTTCACCGTCGCCAAGTCTTCAATGGGCCTTGCTGCCTTCGCCTTGGCCTCAAGCAAAGGCGTCAACCCTACGGAACCCTATCAATTCTAACAGGAACATCTGGAGGACACGTCTAACCACCCCAAACGGGTAGTATCTCATGTAGCAAAAAAAAAAAGAGAAAACTTTGTCGCCTACGTGCATGTGCTCTGTTTGCTTACTGTGATATGTGCTCGTTCTATCACTTCCCTGTCCCACAACCGGTCCCCTAAAACAACACACCCATGTGAATCTTCAGTGAGTCGAAGGTCCCAAGAAAGGCTCCCGGATCTAAGCACCTTTGTGTGGGAGCCCTCCAGCTGAAAAGTATAGCGTAGGCAATGAAATGAGCCCTCCCCCCAAAAAGGACTCCGCTGGAACCTAAGGAGCCAGAAAAGCGCGCGCCTTGGGGGCGCTCTTCGCCTTGGCCGCCCTGCCCCTGGAAAAGGAGGCCGCTGCCGGGGCCTCCTCCAGTGGCTCCAGTGGGGTCGGACCAGAACCAGGGTTCGTGCTTCGTTTCCCCCTCCTTTCCGTCATTGTTTTTGCTTCGCTTCTCTTTCTTTCTTTTTCCTTGAAAGGGATAGTTGAAATGCGTCTGTTTCAAGGGGCTCCAGTGGCAACACGGCCAAGGGATACGAACGGGTATGGGGCAAAACGAAACCGGGATAGACCGCTGGAATGTTGGTATGTGTTTCCATTTGCCAGGGCGACCAATTTTCGGGTTACCCAATTTTTTGCTGCACACTCAAATGAGTGCGTAACCAAAACAAGGCACCTTCTTTCTTCATGGGTGGTCAGTCGCAAATCCTGAAAGGCTTTTCACAGCGACGGGCCAAATCTCAAGATTGACCCAGTGCCAGTGCATATTGCGACGACAAATCAAGGAAGATCGGACGCCTGTTTACATCACACTAGTTCCAAATGGCATACATCTGACTGATTGATTGAAACCCCCAATCACTGACGGATTTGCTTGTTGTGGCGAAATGGTCATGCATGCCAGCTCATGTTGCTCGCCCTTTTTTGCCTGCGATGGTCACCTAATAGCCTCCCGCTACTTGATTGGCTCGAATTGCACAAATGGGGAGGTAGTCAAGATTCTGGCCCATTTCATTTCGCCCACTTCATTTCGGCCTGCAAAGGTGGCACAAAACCACCCAAGAAACTGGCGTCAAACAAGCAAGACCCACACAAATGCTTGGCTTCCTTTGTTCGCAAGACCAGCCCACGTGGGAGTTGATCAAAAGGTCCTTTACATAGGATGACCATTGGTTAGACAACCACTATTAATATGAAATCTCGTAATTCCCATTTGCGGAAAGTTACCCATCAAAACTGGACCCGAAGCCAAATGGAATGCAAAACTGGAACCCGAAGCGAAATGGACAAGTTGATCCACCCCGTGCTTGGCTTCAAAACGCCCGCGTTAGCGCTCAGTCGCTCAGTCGCTCAGTCGCTCAGTCGCTGGGGTCCTTCAGGGCCCAGCTGGCGGTGAGGCCCAGGTCCCGCAACGCCTGCAAGGTGGCCTCAGCCTCGTCCGGCGTGAGCATCAGCTGGCCCTTCCGGCAGCCCTCGGCTCGCTCGGCGCTCGGCGCTCAGCGTCGCCGGCGTCGAGGCTGCGAGTTTTTGTTCAATAAATTGGGAGGGGCCCGGCAGCCATGCGATCTGTCCGGACGGGTTGTCCCAACAAAAATGGGGGCGGGGGGCCATTGCCTGAAAAAAAGCGGCCGCGGTGGATCCATTCTCCAGTCGCTTGGCAGTCCAACCAATCAATACCTTTCCCTGCAACCGAAGCTGCCTGGTAGCTGGCCGCTGTCATCTTCGGATGGCGCGCAGGGCGCGCCATTGCGGGCGTGAGGCAGCTAAGCAAAGGGTCTCTCACGAGTTCCAGGCTATTCCTGGGTGACCTTGTCAATGATAAATCCTCTGGGGCGTGTGCTTTTTGCAAGCTTCTCCAGATCGAGTAAGCTGTGGTCCGGTTCAGGCAATTGCGAGTAACGGCATGCTGCACAAAAATGACCATCAGGCAACACCATGAAGCAGTTTCACTCGCCATGTGCTCTACACAACATGGTGCGTTACATTGAAGTGACACGCTCAAGCAACCCGGACAAAACAAAGTTCACGACACCAAATGCTCGCGTGTCGCAGTTGCTCGTCAGCAAGCAACTCCACAAGCTCGAGAACAAGCAAGTAGGGCGGAGCGACAACGCAGCAATATTTTTGAGCAAGTGCTGTCGTGTTCATGGTTGCGATAGATAACAGCGAGTTGCGAAACGTTCACAGAAACCAGTCAAACCGTTGTCTCTTGTCAACCCTCGGCGACTCGTATCGGCGTATCTTTTGTGAGGATACCTTAGGTTGCTGCAACATTAACCGACCAGGGGACCGCAGGTGTTTCTTGTTGTTTTTGTTTCAATTTACCAGGCTTCCATGTTGGGTACCTATGTTTGACCCACACCCATCTCACAAGCACCTGTAATTCCATTGTCTTGGCTGTGTGTCGCTTTGTGATTTTTGTTGTCTTCGCATGGCGCGCAAAGCGCGCCATTTCGTCCAGCCTGCAGCTCAATTCAGAGGGCCTCTCGCTAGTTCCATGCGGCTCCTCCGTGATCTTACCATAAATGATCATCTTGTTGGGTCTGTCCGTTTGGCAGCTCCAAAGCAAGCTGTGGGCCGGCTGGGCCCAGCGAGCAATGGAATGTAGCAGCAAAATGCCGGGTCAGGCAACACCATCCATGGTTTGTTCATCTGCTTAAATACGTGGGTGCCTTTATCGTTTTAGTTGACAAGCACAAGGAAACTCCCATCGGGCCTCCATTGCCATGGTCACGGCCCAGTGCAGGTCATCACAGGACACGCGCAGCATCAGCCGGCACCTTGTGTGCGTTCTGTGCGTATCCTTGGGCTCAAACCAAAGTTGTGTCGGAGGGGAAGCTTGTGGGGGGGGGGGGGCGGGGGAGATGAAATTGACCTTCGTGCAATCACTCATTTCACAACCATTTCGTCCGAAGGCCCTTCTTTCCAAGCCTTGGGAGCGTAGCTTACGAGATTGGGAGAAAGAGCCATTGCTGATCATGCTTTCAGAGAAGATGAAGCCATGACCAGTCCCGGCGTCCCCATGTGCTCCCCAAGCTAAGGTGGAATTCTGCCCCACTGATATCCAGCTGCAATATGCGGAGCATTTTTTAGGGGGAGAGATAAAAGCATGTCAACAGATTCCACACGGGTTTATTACATGGGTATTTACTTTGATTCGATACCCTTGGGTGGACATCATTTAGGCGGGGGTTGTAGGTCCACCAACCACTTTGGAGGTGGTTCCCTATCGTCTTTTTCGGAGCCACCCTTCCTTGAGGTTGTTTTCAAGGGAAAGCAAGAGGAACCACCCGTGCATGGGGTTCCGAAACCTATCTGGAGACCCATTCATATGTCTTTCTTTTGGTGTAGGCATCACCACCTTTTTGGGGCCATTTGGGGCCGTGAGCTACTTTTCGTGGACATCTCAGATTGCCCAACACGTGATCTGGTGTGCACGTATTCACTAGTACTCCAAGTCACCGCGTGATGACAGTTCGACCAACAAGACAAACATCTGGGGTGGCTATTTACGGTCCGTTTGGACCACACGTCTCATGTCGACCATTCTGTGTAAACAGACTGGGCTAGCTATAAATCAGGGTTCCCCTAAACACTTTCAAACCGATCGAACAAACTAGAATCCGCGAGGAAACAGGGAATCCAAGACACCTTTTTGGGGGTGTGGCTTCCGAATGAGTCTCCAGAAAAGATTCGAGCGCAAAGTGCCAGGGAAAGATAGCGCGCAACTGAACTCCATTCTGAAATTAGCTTGAACCGTGGCACGAACCTCTGCCTATCCCCAGGACATATTGACGGTGATATCTTGCCCGCTAGATGTGTGGAAGATTTCATATAAGAGATTTCTATGGTCACAGCGGATTCGGAGCTATCCCGATATTCGTGAAAATCAAATGTCCCGCAGGTTCTTTGAACTTGCAGGAAGCATGAGGCCAGCCTTTTTCCACTCATGGAAGTGGGCAGAGGGCTGCCCAAAAGGAAAGTAGTCCTCCAACATCCTGTCAGCTTCTCCAGAGGAGGGCGCCTGTGCATCCAGTCGCCCCCAAGTGCCAGGGAAACCCCGGTCTCAGGCTGCGGCATGACGACCAGAATCAAGTAGCATCCCAGAATGACCCTGAGACTGAAAGCGCAGCACGCAGCCCGGTGCAACACCCGCTTGAACAGTTTGAACTTTTACTCTCGAGCAGCCAAGATTCGACGAAGGCAACAAACAAAAGCTTCGAAAAGGATTGAGTAGGTTCGGTGTTGACCGAGTGAGGCACGTCCCGAACCCTCGTAGAAATCCACTTGCCACCAGCCAGCCACACCGTCATGCGCCTAAAGCCTTTGAGCTACTGAGGAGCGTTAACATACTTGACTGCCATTTGCTTAAGCCCCCTGGAAAAATCGAATTATGTCCAGTGGAGATCAATCCCCTTTAAAATCAACAAGATAAAATGCAAAATATTCTTAAGCAGATGGAAGCTGAACGTTGGCACAGCAGGCTCCTCTTCTTCGCGGTTACAACCCACCGATGGCACTCTTTTTTGGGAGCTGGTCTCGCATGGTCCGCGGTCCAACTGCCGTGACGCGCTGCAGGATTTCCATTACACGAGCAGCTTTTCTTGATTCCCTGGCGTGGCTCAAAATTAAAGAGCTAGGGCAAACCGCAGGTGTTAGTCTTTCCATTCATAAGGATGTTGTGCTGGGCTCCATTTTTGTGAACCACTGCCATATACCTCAAACTTCCGCTCAGTGAAAACCTCTCGATCAGCGCTCCTCAGCCTGCGCACAAATTTCCGACGTTCAAAGCCAAAGTCGATGCAACTTTCCGGAGCTCACCAACTTTTCGTCTTTTCGTACCCCTCGGACCTGTAGACCTGAAAGGACCCCGGCCATGAGCACTGGCAACGGCAGCAAACCATGGATGAGACAAGAGGGTCTCACTGCCATTGGTCTTTCTGGGAACCGGGGGACTCCAAAATAAAAGGCAAGTTCAAAGCAGCCAGCCTGGGTCGAACAAACGCTCCAAAGTGACATCCGGAAAGGCTGCGCTTCCCGGTTGCCCGGCTCGCATCTGAATCGAAAAGAATCAAGGCCAAGCAGCTAACCGTTGCGGCACAAATGCTTGCCTCTCTTGTCTCCTGTGATTTGGAGCCGCTGCAAGGGAGCCATTGCAGCCTAGTCGTGACTATTGCTCACTACCGTGGATGGACGAAATCCTGCACCACTTTGAAACCATGGCTGAAACCACTGTTCCTTGGTATTTACAGGGGAATCGGGGAATCATCAGAAACCAGGGTTTTGCGTAGGTGGTGCGAAATGAAATTCGCAACCATCCACAGTATTGGCGACTCTTGGCGACAAGTAGTGAACTGTTGCTGACCACTAGCCTCACCAAGGACCGTCTTTTGGGCCATGACCTTCCGTGCCTCCTATGGATCTGAATCAGCATTGATAGATAAGCTGGAGAAGCTGACAAAGCATGTGTGTGTGTGTGTGTGTTTTTGTTTATGGGACCCCCAAAATGGCAAACCAGGGGTCCTTTTGGTTTCCCTTTGAAACCACCAAAAGAGGGGTATCCTCAAAAAGAGACGAAAGGTGGCACTGATGCTAGGATCCAGTCGCACCCCGTCGCCTGCACGCTTGAGATAATCGTCCCAACTCGTCCACCTGAGCACACAAGGCACCACGTTGCGAACCTGTTCAGATTCAAAAGGGCTCTCAATTTGCAGAACAATAAGGATGGAAGGAAGGAAACAAGACCGCAGAAGCCAAACAAAGCAAACCTGGGAGGAGGAAAGAACATCAAACCAAGCCCGAGATCAGTTTAGGCCTGTTGCCTTCTGGGTCTCGAGAGGGCACCAAGAATACCTGGGTTTGACACCCAATCTTCATGGCGACTTTGTCACACGCAGAGATCGCCTTGCCGTCTTGCCCCAGAAAAACGGCCCCCAAAAAAGAACGCACCTTCCTTCCAGTTGCCTGTAGCAGAAAATTGTGCGTTGCTGATCATCACAATTTCCCCTTTCAAGCCGATTGAAAAATAAACGGGGAGAAAGAAAAGACCATGACGGCAAGGGGAAAACAAAGCACGAACCCGGGCTCCGGTCCGACCCGTTCGAAGCCCGAAGTCGGGCGACGTATACCTGTTGCAGGGCGAGGAGGACTCCTGCGGCGGCCGCTCGCCGTTGGCTCGTCGGGTGGCCAAGGTCTCGCCCATGCGGAGGATGGTCTCCACCGGGATTTCGCTCATGTCCCTAGCGATCGCAACTCGGAGCTTAGCTTCGAACCTATGAGAAGATACAACAAAATATGTTGGATGGCTTGTAGAGGCTTCAAAGGAAATCCAAGGCCCAATTTGGGGGAAGAACACAATTTCTGCCGCCCTGAGGCCAATCCCAACTCTTTCAACGTCACAGATCCCTTCCAACCGACCCAAAAAGTCTGCCATCGAACAACAACAAAAAAACACACACGCGATGCCGTGTCTTTCCCACAACGACCCAAACCATCCAAACGGGTCACAAATTTGCTCCCACCGCGCTTCCGTCCGGACCGCTGGCCTGATCTGCCGGACCGGCTGCGCGACGCCCTTCCGGATGAAGATGAGCACCGTAGAGCCCCCGAAGGCCATGTACCCGTGCTCCATGCCCCGCAGCACCGCCTAGATGAGATTTTTGTGTCCAAGAAACTTGCTTGCTTGAAAGCCACGGGAAATGTTGGAGCCCTGTTCGTGGGAAGCTCAGTTCTCGTCCCCTCGCCACCCAGGGGATTTCTTGACCAACTTCGCATGGGGGGACCCTCAAAATACAGAGTTAAAGCAACCTCGAAAAAGAGGCCAACGCAGCAGGTTCCCTTCCTTGTTGCGGAACTTTGAGGGCAAGGGAAAGATTCCAAAATCGGACATGGACCCCCTGTTTGGATCTTGTATGGTCCTTGCAGGGACACCAAGAGTAGGTCTACTTTTTTCAAAAAGGAGTGTTTAAAAGTGGCACAGGGACCTGCAAGAACCAGCACAAGAAACCACAATACCCGCCGGTCAAAGGAACATCTAGCTTCCCAAAAATTGTACCAAGTAGTTGTCTCTTAGGGGACACCCAAAAGGGTGGTGCTCCTTTGCTTAAAACCAACCAAGAAGGGGATTCCCGAAAAAGCCTAACCAAAACACCGGTAAGAATCAAAAGCCTCATAGGAAAAGATCTCCTGGATTAGGTCTGGTAAACTCAGTGGGCAGAAGAATTCGATTTTAATTGCTCCTGTGCAGAGTTGGCTCCCTTTAGAAACTGTTTGGCAAAGCCATTCAGGTCGTATTGATTGCCCTGGTGGATTCCTGTGGTCATTCAGCATCCTGCCAAACCCTTGGAGTTTGAGTCCCATCCAGAGTGAGATCAACTGGGTCTGTAGTTTCTCTTGTTGCTGCACTTTCTGACACAACTCGCATTCACTTCGCGAGATCTCCACAATATCCAGTCGTAAGATCGCAAAAGCCACCCCCAATGGTCATCCTAATGTAAAGGCCTGGAGTTGCCACTTCCCGCCTGATTCACCCAGGAGGTGTGCATCACAGAGCCCACCTCGGCATCCGGCGGTCAGTCCGGCTCTTTCGGAACTGACTTGGACAGTGATATGGCTGTGTGTCAAAAAAAGGTACCCAAAATGGAACCCTGGTAAATGCCAAAACCTGCGGTCCCTGGTGGTTTAATTTTGTCCTCATGGAATGGAGTCACTCGAGACCAACTCCCAAAAAGACATACCCGTAACGCACGATTGGGGTTTCTTCATTCTGAGGGTTTTTGTATTGCACCCTGGGATTACACCCTTGGGAAATGACCCAGAATGGTTACAAATAACACGGCTTTATCCGGAAATGTGCTGTGCTTCGGTTAGGTGATTCTTGAAGCTGTTGGTGCGTGGCTTTTCCTCGAAAGCATCGCAAAGGGATTTCCGCGCAGAGCCCTTGGGCAAACTTGCGCAGAGCAGCTTGCTCAGCCAACTTCCTGAGAAAACTTGCCCAGAGCAGCTTGCTCAGAGAAATTGCTACGCGAACTTGCCTAGAGAACTTGGTCAACTTGCTCAGGTAAACTGGCGCAGAGAAACTTGCCCAGAGAACTTGCTCAGCGAAAACTTGCCTAGAACTCGCTTTCTTCTTAGCCTTAGCTTTGTAACGCGGCAGGGTGGGACTGTCGGCGCTGGGGATCGGCGCGGGATGCGCAAACACGACTTCTCCTCGTGGTCCGCTGATTGCGCCGGGAGATCGCAGGTTGAACTTGAAAGGGCCATGGGTCAAAATCCCATACCCCCAGTGAACAATCGCCTAAAATAGGTTCTAAAATGGGTGGTGCACCTACCCCAATGGTACCATTGGTTTTGACAACCACAGCCAAAGGCTTCGCCTTCCTACTGCCCTGTCTCGCGCTGCCGCACCTCGCGCTTCGCATCTTCGCGCACTGCACCTCGCGCCTCGCGCCTCACGCTTCCCCAGAGAGGCCTTATACTGCTAGCCCCATGCATGGCGGCTTTGGCTGAATAGAGGCTAAAGAGTGGGGAAGCCGAATGGGGCGGGTTTAGTGGATTTGAGAGTTGGCTTATAGTTGGTTGCGGCCATTGTTTTCGGATGGTTTGGGGTGCGTTGAAGGTGGGTTTAGGGTGGGTTTAGGGTGTAGGGCTGGTCTAGTTTAGGGTGGTTTTAGGTGTTTTGGGTGGTTTAGCGTTGGCCTGGGGTTGGTTTTGGGTGGCTTTCGTTCTGGGGTGGGTTTGGGGTTGGGCGTAGCACTTGTGTTTGGTTGGTTTGGGTTTGGTTTAGGTGGTTTAGGGTGGATGTGTTGTTTACTTGGTTTGGGGTTGGCTTAGGGAGCAAGTGGCAAATGTGCGCATTGGCCAAAAAGGCGTCCCTGTACTTCCCCTCTCCCCAGCCCAAAGGAAACGCCATGACAACTCCAAACACACAACAAAGGAGGGATTCAAACAAAAACAAAAAACCGTCGAGGAAACCCCAAAAACCTCGAGTCTGCCAAAAACAAACCCGCAAAATTCAAAATGTCAGCAACCATGCCTGGGAGAAGAAAAAAACTGTTGTTCTTGTTGTTGTCTCGATGGTCTCGTGTCGTTCATCTCAAGTATGGTTGCTGATTTCGTGTTTAGTGTGTGTCCTCACATATGTTGGCCGATGGAAACATCCCACAGGACAGTTGCTGACATGTTGCTTCTTGTGTGCGTTGTCGTGTGTTTGATTTGTTGTTTGTTGGACTTCCTCGCAGTGCTTGGTTTTTGCTTCATCCCAAGTATGGTTGCTGGTACTTTGTTTTGCTGTTTGGGTTTTTGTCCCGTGTTTTATTTTGTTTTAGTGGGAGGCTTTTTTGGTCGTTTCCATCCTAAGTGTGGTTGCCGCACGTTTGACGTGATTGAGCTTTGTTTTGTTGGCAGAAGGTCAAGGTCATGGTCCTGGCACGAGTGAGAGGTTGAGAAAGCCTGGACTTGAGGCCAAACTGATCACGACAAACCAACCACCTCCTTCAACTCTTCATACATCATGTCTCCGGCCGGAAAATCCAAGCCATTCTCGACCCCCCGCAAAAGCATCTGCCCTCTCTCCCACCAACAAGGCAACTGACAAGAGGGTCTCTCCAGGATTGTGTTCTTCAATCTAATTCTTGGGCTGTTCCACCCTTTACACACCAAGTATCACGACCCCACATTCGCTTTCCAAATTGATGGCACCTTCGCGTTCCAAAACGAAACGCGCTTCCCCGCCCCCACCACTCGAGTTCCAAGGCGCGTTGGTGGCGCCCACTGACACGAAGGTGACGCAGCCAAAGTTGTCCTCCCCCGTCTCGATGCTCACGTGCATGCGCTTGTTGGTGCTAAACACCGGGTCTTTGGACTGCACCTAAACCCCCCGTGGCTCGAAAGACTTGCGCAACTGGAAAAGCTGCAAAACTCTGGGAGAAAAGAAAAATAATCTTCCTGGACGCAAACCAGCAGAAGCTTCGAAACTCCCCAGCAGGATGGGGCCTTCCTGGACGGCTGGGGAGAAAAGAAAAAACACCAAAGCACTTTGGTGGCGCGTAGGCCACCTCCTTCCCATTGGGCATGGCTCCATCTCCTGCAGACCTGTGGGGGTTGATCAAATGGTTGATATTTCAACCGCATGGGAAAAGTGAGCCATGGTCATTTTGGGGGCCAAGCCCCACGTGCGAATTTGGCTGTACCTGGACAAAGTTGCACCAGCCATCTCAGGCCCCTTGAAAATCATGCTGCCGGTCATGACCACTGCTCAAAATACAAGACTGGACTCTAAGGATGGACATTCAGGTTGCAGGTGCGTTGCCCTCCCCTTCGTGCCCGTCAAGTGGGCTGTATGTGGGGTGCATCCCACCATCTACTACCAAAAAACAGGGTTAAGTACTCTGCACGGAACCGAAGAAAAACATCATAAGAGGAAAATATATCCTTTGCGAGACCCCCGTTTGGGTTCCATCCTGATTTGGAAAGACTGTGTTGATGACTGACAAACGTGTCTTCCCCTTGCAAAGGTGGATGCCTCTTTCTACTGCATGGGTTCAATGAATTGGTCGACCTAGCAAATGATTCGATACACACAGCTGAAAAATGAAATACCCAAGCGTCAGGCATCTTGTTGATGCCCAAAAAACGGTGCAAGTCATCCAGTGTAGTTTGCAGGCGCAGGTGTTCAGACCAGGAAGGGAAATCACTCGTAGTCGCTGTCTGAATTCGAACCCAAAGGGCCTCAGACTTGCATTGCCCTCAACCAACCGGAAAGAGATCCGTTTCGGTCCATCAAAGGGCGACTTGGCTCTGAGGCCTGCAAAACCCAGGTGCCACCTGGGCTCGGAAACGAGCCTCAGAGCATTGAAAAACAAAGAATCGGTTTGTGGAATCCAAATACGAGTCTGAACAAGAGCTTGACATGTGAACCTCTGCATTCCTTCCTCTGCGTGTGCTGATAAATAGGTGTATCTCACAATAGGCGAACCCGCAAATTCATGTCCCGTTGTTTTGCCTTTTGTTCAAGCCCAGCAAGAAGCCCCCCAAAACCAACAACGGAAGCACGTCGAGCGCGCTGGGGGCCCTGGCGGCAATGGGGTTCACGCTGTAGTAGTTGCCGGGGTAGTTCTGGAAGCTCCGAATAACTGCGGGGCACGCGTGGCGAAGAATTCGGTTCTGCAAATGGGAGCTCCTTTGAATGTTTGTGCAGGGGAACCAACTCGAAATCGCGAAAGGGAGGCTCCCCATGTTTGTCGGTTAGTGCTGGGAACCAACAACTTATGTCCCTTTAAAGAATCAACCCCAAACCAGCACATCATCAAGAAAGACCTAGCTAGTGTTGAATGATTGCGATACCCCCCCCCCCCCCCATTTTTGGAGAACAGCCCCAGTACCATCAAAAAAAACGATGTGTCCACATGGTGTCTGGTTTTCCCAACCAACCCAAAAAAAAGGTTCAGTCTCAAATTAGAAGTACTCAAAAATGGGTGGTTATCCTCTTGTCTTGAACCAACAAAAAGGGTACCTCGACAAAAGACACCGCCAAATTGCGCCGTCCAAACAAAAAGACACACAGGCACAGGCACAGCGACTCGCTGCGTCCAGGCGCTCCCGTCCACTGGGAAGTGGAAGCGGTGGTAGTCCTGCGGCGCTAAGCGCACGATGAAGGCGGTGCCTCCCTGGTAGTAGTCGTAGTCCGTGCCACGAGAAAACTTCACCTTGATTCTCTCTTGTTGGCGGTTTTCGTGTGTGTGCCATTCTAAATTATACTGTGGATGGACAAGATCCGTTTCGCGCCAGTTGGGATGGATGAAACCCCCAATGGGATAAACCACCAACCGACTGGTGCAGGACTTGTTTGTCCATCCATAGAATTTCTACATTGATGTGTTTCTCTGTTTGTCAGTTTATCGCCCAAGGGAACCCAGCCTCATTGCAATGGAGCTGCACACAGGAGGGCGTTGGATTGCGTTTCCTTTCTTCTGGGTGTCCAACAGTAAGCCAACCAGAAGGCTAGGATTGGGGCAAACCATTGAACCTGATGTTGCGTGTCTTTACAACCCTCTGAATGGGCTTGCAAAAACCATGTTTTGTGCAGCCCACTAAACAGCAACAGAACCAAACAATAAAACTAAAAACATGATCCAGGAACAGTGAAGCTATTGTTCTTTTGGCTTGGCACCCAACCTGAGCTGGCTTCCTTCTGGGCCCCACCCCACGAGAAGCGCGCTCTGGGCTTTGTTGTTTTGGTGCGACCAAAGACTCTGGAAAGTGGGCTTTGCCCGCACTTTTTGCCTGAAGCAGCATCTTAAAGTGGCCATGGGACCGGTTTCAGGTGAGAGTGACTTCCTGCGCAAAAAACAAAAAGCCTATGACTCAAAACCGCAAGGAGGCAGCAGCCAACCTGCGATGAGCACACCAGTTCGGAAAAGCAACCAAGAGACTCACTCACTGGTTTAGACCTAAAAAAGGGGGAAAACAGCTATCTAGCTAGGTACGTGGGCTTGTAAATGCTTCGTGCAAAAAATGCTGCAACCAGGGGTCCACACCAATCCTGGCAGCCTTGCAAGCCATTCCCCCCCGAAACTGCGTGCTTGTCAAGGGACGATGTTCTGCAGGAGGAACTTCTCACCCTTGACCCACATGCCTGAGGCGTGCGACACATGGAAACATCCAAGCAAGCCACTGAGCGATGGGCAAAAACATCAAATAGCCCAAACCTCAACTCATTTCTTTGAGGCACCCGAAACCCCACTTCCGCCCAACCCCCTCCCCCCCTCCCCTTCAAACCCCCCCAATCCCGGAGAGCCCCGAGTTCCCCGAGTTCCCCGAGTTCCCCGAGTTCCCCGAGCTCCCTGAGCCCGCCTGTGCGGTAGGGGTCCAAATCCTCGAAGACCACCACGCGCCCGTCCGCCGGACTCGCCACCGTCACCTCCTGCCGCTGCGCCGCGTCCACCTCACGCAAACGTGTCAGGTTCCATGGGCGTTCGCGGCGTCGCCGCTGGGGACCCCCTCATGTCTTTCAGGCGTCTTTTGAAGACCAAAGTCTGAATCTTCCCCTTTGGGCCTTTGAAGTGAGTTCCTTTCATGGGGTGATCATCAAGGAGAAATATCCACGAACCCCTCGCCCCCCCCCCCAAGAAGAAGTCTTCCGCTTTCAAACCAAAACAAGACGAAGTCAACACAAACGGGAAGAGACTGAGGTGCCAACCTCGGCGCATTCGCTGTCCGCCTGCCAAGCGGGATTCGCAGAATGGTTCCCTTGGGGTCTTCCCCAACTTCTTGTCTTGCACACTCGCCAACCAATAAAAACCAACGTGTAAAATCCAACCACAAAACACAGAAGTGGTTTCCGGCAACCACCATGGAGCGCTCTGTGAAATGCACATGCTTGGCGAGGCTACGACCCCAGCTGCAACAACGACAACGGGCCCCGCCGACGGGAATCGAATTCCCCATGTTTTTGGCAAGGGGAACAAGGAAAGCCCGGCACATGGAAAAACTATATAAAACCCATCTAATCCAGTCCCCTCTGATTCTAGCCAAAGAACGATAAAAAGCACGGACCTATGCCAACCCCACCCTATCTGGCCGACGGCTTACTTGAAACACGCCTGGCTGTAGCATAGAAACTTCCGGGCGCCCATCGTCAGCTTGCCTGGCCAGAAACAGCAAGCTGGGGCCAAGGCTCGGTGCCCCGATGCGGTGGGACTTGTGGTTCCCGAACGAACCAAAGCTTCCTTGCATCCGGGGCCCTTTGGGGGGCTGGTGGCTCCTGAACGGCAAACAGAATCGACCAGCACCTCCGTTTGGGAGAGCTGAGCCGCTTGCAGCAATTTTTGTGGGGGAGCCGTTGGGAGATGAAGTGGAATTCTCAGAATCGGACACCAAACAGCTTGTCGTTTCCTTGTTGCCCTTTCCAAGCACCCAAAGGAAAATCACCAAGAAAGATGCACCCAAATCTCGCATCCAGCTTCTTCCGGCCACGATCTCACGGCTTTTTGTTGAAGGGTCAATGGAAATGGCAAGCCCGAAATGGTTTGCCCTGGTAAATGGAGACGACGACGACGACGACCACGACCACGACCACAACAACAACAACAACAACAACAACAACAACAACAACAACAACAACAACAACAACAACAACAACAACAACAACAACAACAACAACAACAACAGCAACAGCGACAACGACAACGACAACGACAACGACAACGACAACGACAACGACAACGACAACGACAACGACAACGACAACGACAACGACAACGACAACGACAACGACAAACAACAACAACAACAACAACAACAACAACAACAACAACACAACACAACACAACACAACACAACAGCAACACAACACAACACGACACGACAACGACAACGACAACGACAACGACAACAACAACAACAAACAAACAACAACAACAACAACAACAACAACAACAACAACAACGACAACGACAACGACAACGACAACGACAACGACAACGACAACGACAACGACAACGACAACGACAACAACAACAACAACGACAACGACAACGACAACGACAACGACAACGACAACGACAACGACAACGACAACGACAACGACAACGACAACGACAACGACAACGACAACGACAACGACAAACAACGACAACGACAACGACAACGACAACGACAACGACAACGACAACGACAACGACAACCAACAACAACAACAACAACAACAACAACAACAACAACAACAACAACAACAACGACAACAACAACAACAACAACAACAACAACCACAACGACAACAACAACAACAACAACAACAACAACAACAACAACAACAACAACAACAACAACAACAACAACAACAACAACAACAACAACAACAACAACAACAACAACAACAACAACAACAACAACAACAACAACAACAACAACACAGCAGCAGCAGCAGCAGCAGCAGCAGCAGCAGCAGCAACAACAACAACAACAACAACAACAACAGCAGCAGCAGCAGCAGCAGCAGCAACAACAACAACAACAGGTAAATGGAGAAAGAAAAGCTGCGGCCCAGATCCTGGTCCTTGATCTTGACCCCTGTGAGACTTCCACCCCGCCCCGTCCAAGCGGGCCCAGGGGCGGTAGAAGAAGTGGTTGTACGTCGCGAAGACCTCCCCGGCCTGCGGAACGGCCGGAAGCTGACCCAGCCGCTTTGAAGGGACGGTTTCAAGAAGCCAAAAGGAGACCTGGCGATTCATGTTGTATCCAAATAGACCCATACTTCCAGGATTAACATCTGCACTCTTTTGTTGGGGGCCCAGACGATACCGGTCTTCAAAGTATGAAAACCCACGGGTTGTTTGTTCTGAGGATGTTCAAAGTATGTGGCCGACATTTGAGGGCGCCTGATGCTTTTTGGTGCCACCTCTTCCGTGCTTTTGTTGTTTTGTTGGTTCTTCAGTCAGCCGTTGTGCGTCTACGGGCGGCCCACACCTTGAGGATACACGCCTCCTCGTCCCCACAGCCCTCAAGGCCCTGCACCTCGTTGAGGTCCACCTGGCGAGGCGACGGAATGGGTGGCGCGTGTCGCTTTGTTTTTTTTTGGGTTGGTACCCTTTTTGGGGTTGGTTTAGACAGGAACATGTCTTGACAGGAGCCTTGGTTTTTGTGATTAAAGGGAAACCAAAAGGACAATCACCGATTTAAACAGGTCCCCATGAAAAAAGAACCCTGAGAAGCATTCAGGCCTAATGGGAACCGCGGATCTAAGTAGACCTGGTTGTTGAGAGATGGGGTGTCCAACTCCTTTTAGTGGGGAAAAACAACCACTTTTGGAGGGGGCCCCACCCCACCTTTTTCATGGAACCGCTTTTATTTTAACTTCTGGGGTCAACACACAGTAATATTTCATGGCAAAACGAGAAGGAAACTCCCTTTTGCTGGTTGGCCACCTTACCCTTGCGGCGGGCAAACCGCCGCTCCCAACAGCAGTTGGTGACCATAATGTCAACTCCTACAAACCTATGAAAAACTTCGAAGATTCCGTCTCCCGTTGCGTCAAATAACGAGGTGATACCACTCACGTCATTTGAAAAGCGGTGAAGTATTGAGATTTGTTGATCAAAAGATTCCCTCGTAACCTTCTAGGCAATTCCAGGGATCTCACTCAACAACCATGCGCCCCCTCCGTGATTACAGCCTTGCTTGTTCGGTTTAACCATCACCTCACCAAAAGGAAACTCATTTGCTAGCATAGCTCAAGCTATAGGCCACGAAAATGGAAATATGCGGACCCCTGGAAAAAACATCTGCACGCAGGCGCGCCTGATATGCTTGTACAAAATGCCGGATGTAGTGGATCTTCTTCTCCATGTCGCGTGTCCTCAGGAGCCATTCAACCCTCTGGGGCGGTGACTCGAGTGCAACAAGGACCGCATAGCCGAGAACCAGCCCAGTTTGATGTGTTTGGTTCTGGGTAGCTCTGGGTACAATCATTCACCAACCTGCAACAAGAAACAGACCACCAACAAGTTGAGCCCCCGTGACAGCATGCAACATCGTCGCCAGTAGCTGGCCCATGTTGGTACATAAGATGTCTCTTCTTGAGGCCACCCTTCTCGGAAGTGGGTTCAAAGGCAAAACCAAAGGGAAAACACCCGCTTTTGCAACGGTGTCCGTTCCCCGTGTCTTTCAGTGAAAGCGGAATGTCCACCCGGTCACCTGATCATGGGCCCGCACCCAACCAACAATCAAGAATTCCCGAAAATGGTTGGCTTCCTTTCTGCGCCCCTTCAAAAAACATCCCCAAAAAGGGCACCCACATATATGCACCAAGGGTCGCTCACGCAAGCGGGTGAGAAAACGTTCAAGCAACCAGCAAGCTCTGGGAGATAAGATCTGGAAGAAGTCAACTTGGAAGAAGTGATTCTGGATGGGGTCCAAATGACCCTTGCACTACCAGTAGACAAAAACCAGCTGAAAAACTGTTTCGAGTTGAGGACGACTCAAACGAAATTCTTGAGCCAAGGCACTCGTAGGCCTTCACACCCTTCTGGTCCCACCTTCGCCGGCGGATCCCATAGACGTGGACCGCAAACAATTGAATATCATGATTCAAAGACTCAAAAACGTTCCATGCGTGCTTGCCAAGAGGAGCCCATTACCAAACTGGCTGAACCCTTTTCAGAATGCAGAGGCTACGAAAACTGACGAATGCCGTGAGGCACAGACAAGCTGCCTTGGATTGCTCTACCCTGTCACGGGGAAACAGGACACCACTTGTGCCGATTTCCCGAATGAACTTGTCAGGGAAAAGCAAAGTTCCATAAAGTTCCCACAAAGCAGAAATCAGCTCAAGCCATCTGGCAGTAGGAAGTGTGTGTGTGTGTTTTGTGTTTTGTGTGCGTGTGTGTGTGTGTGTTTTGTGTTTTGTGTGCGTGTGTGTGTGTGTGTTTTGTGTTTTGTGTGCGTGTGCGTGTGCGTGTGTGTGTGTGTGTGTGTGTTTTGTGTTTTGTGTGCGTGTGTGTGTGTGTGTGGTGTGTGTATTGTGTGTGTTGTGTGTTTTGTGTGTGTTGTGTGTTTTGTGTGTTTTGTGTGTTTTGTGTGTTTTGTGTGTTTTGTGTGTTTTGTGTGTTTTGTGTGTTTTGTGTGTTTTGTGTGTTTTGTGTGTTTTGTGTGTTTTGTGTGTTTGTGTGTTTGTGTGTTTGTGTGTGTTGTGTGTGTGTTGTGTGTGTTGTGTGTGTTGTGTGTGTGTGTGTGTGTGTGTGTGTGTGTTGTGTGTTTGTGTGTTTGTGTGTGTGTGTGTGTGTGTTGTGTGTGTGTTGTGTGTGTTGTGTGTGTTGTGTGTGTTGTGTGTGTGTGTGTGTGTTGTGTGTGTTGTGTGTGTGTGTGTGTGTTGTGTGTGTTGTGTGTGTTGTGTGTGGTGTGTGTGTTGTGTGTGTTGTGTGTGTTGTGTGTGTTGTGTGTGTTGTGTGTGTTGTGTGTGTGTTGTGTGTGTGTTGTGTGTGTTGTGTGTGTTGTGTGTGTTGTGTGTGTTGTGTGTGTGTGTTGTGTGTGTTGTGTGTGTTAGTGTAATGTAACGTGTGTGTGTTGTGTGTTGTGTGTGTTGTGTGTTGTGTGTGTTGTGTGTGTTGTGTGTGTTGTGTGTGTTGTGTGTTTTGTGTGTTGTGTGTGTTTTGTGTGTTGTGTGTGTTTTGTGTGTTGTGTGTGTTTTGTGTGTTGTGTGTTTTGTGTGTTGTGTGTGCTGTGTGTGTTGTGTGTGTTGTGTGTGTTGTGTGTGTTGTGTGTGTTGTGTGTGTTGTGTGTGTTGTGTGTGTTGTGTGTGTTGTGTGTGTTGTGTGGGTTGTGTGTGTTGTGTGTGTTGTGTGTGTTGTGTGTGTTGTGTGTGTTGTGTGTGTTGTGTGTGTTGTGTGTGTTGTGTGTTGTGTGTGTGTGTGTTGTGTGTGTGTGTTGTGTGTGTTGTGTGTTTGTGTTGTGTGTGTTGTGTGTGTGTTGTGTGTGTTGTGTGTGTGTTGTGTGTGTGTGCGTTGTGTGTGTGTTGTGTGTGTTGTGTGTGTTGTGTGTGTTGTGTGTGTTGTGTGTGTGTTGTGTGTGTTGTGTGTGGTGTGTGTTGTGTGTGTGTTGTGTGTGTTGTGTGTGTTGTGTGTGTTGTGTGTGTGTTGTGTGTGTTGTGTGTGTTGTGTGTGTGGTGTGTGTGTGTTGTGTTGTGTGTGTGTGTTGTGTGTGTGTTGTGTGTGTGGTGTGTGTGGTGTGTGTGTTGTGTGTGTTGTGTGTGTTGTGTGTGTGTGTTGTGTGTGTTTTGTGTGTGTTGTGTGTGTGTGGTGTGTGTTGTGTGTGTTGTGTGTGTTGTGTGTGTTGTGTGTGTGTTGTGTGTGTTGTGTGTGTGGTGTGTGTTGTGTGTGTGTTGTGTGTGTTGTGTGTGTTGTGTGTGTTGTGTGTGTGTGTTGTGTGTGTTGTGTGTGTTGTGTGTGTTGTGTGTGTGGTGTGTGTGTTGTGTTGTGTGTGTTGTGTGTGTGTTGTGTGTGTGGTGTGTGTGGTGTGTGTGTTGTGTGTGTTGTGTGTGTTGTGTGTGTGTTGTGTGTGGTGTGTGTTGTGTGTGTTGTGTGCGTGTGTTGTGTGTGTGTTGTGTGTGTTGTGTGTGTTGTGTGTGTTGTGTGTGTGTTGTGTGTTGTGTGTGTGTTGTGTGTGTTGTGTGTGTTGTGTGTGTTGTGTGTGTTGTGTGTGTTGTGTGTGTTGTGTGTGTTGTGTGTGTTGTGTGTGTTGTGTGTGTTGTGTGTGTTGTGTGTGTTGTGTGTGTGGTGTGTGTTGTGTGTGTTGTGTGTGTTGTGTGTGTTGTGTGTGTTGTGTGTGTTGTGTGTGTTGTGTGTGTTGTGTGTGTTGTGTGTGTTGTGTGTGTTGTGTGTGTGTTGTGTGTGTTGTGTGTGTTGTGTGTGTTGTGTGTGTTGTGTGTGTTCTGTGTGTTCTGTGTGTTGTGTGTGTTGTGTGTGTTGTGTGTGTTGTGTGTGTTGTGTGTGTTGTGTGTGTTGTGTGTGTTGTGTGTGTTGTGTGTGTTGTGTGTGTTATGTGTGTTGTGTGTGTTGTGTGTGTTGTGTGTGTTGTGTGTGTTGTGTGTGTTGTGTGTGTTGTGTGTGTTGTGTGTGTTGTGTGTGTTGTGTGTGT